TCGCGGCGCAGCGCGTAGGGCACAGCAGAAGCAGGCAGAACGCAGCGAGCGCACGGCAACCACGTCAACGAGGCGAACATGCGAACGCTACCCGCCCCGCCCCGCCCGCAGTCGCCCCGCCGCAGTCGCACAGTGCGCCGAGACGAGACGCGCTGCCGTTCCCTTTGCTGCATTTCCTGCCTGCCTGCAAGTACCTCGGCCGATTCCAGCAGGCCCCACTTTCCCGGGCGTGCCCCTGCCCCGCCCTGTCACGCCCCGCCACGCCCCGCCACGCCCCGCCACGCCCCGCCACGCCCCGCCACGCCCCGGCCACCGCGCTCTGCAGCATTGGGCGCCCCCGCATTACTATTCAATGGAGAACGTACTTTTATGGCACGCATGTATCTTCAAAGTGAATTCGTTTGTTATTTTGAGAAGGTGCGCGGGCGGCGGGGCGGCGGGCCGGCGGGCCGAGAGGAGGCGAACAAGGGCCCCGCCGCTACGCCGGGCTACGCCACTCCACCAACCCCTTCCGAGCCACTACCGCGGACTGGGCTTCGTCCATTTGGACAAAGTGCAGCGCCGTCGGTCTGGCCGTCGGTCTGGCCGCGCGCCATATGCCGCGTGCAATATGTTTGAAACAAAGAAAAAATATAACGCGAAAAAAGAACGGCGATTGGTTACCGGGGTGTCGGCGCCGAGGCCGGCGCCCCATTCGCAGTGCGGGGACGGCGGCGGGAAGCAGACGCGGCCACAGACCGAGATCGCAAAGAGCAAACGCACAGACGGACAGGCGGACAGCCGTGATCGTGAACTGTACGGTGTGCGGCCAACGGCGGCCACACGCGGAAATGACGCGGACGGTCTGCGGCGTCGGCCACGTCGGCCACGTCGGCCACGCGCGGCGGAGGGGCGGCTGGGCTGGGCGCTGTCGTGAAAAGTCATCGTGCTTATTGCGACGGCGCCCCGCCCCTCCGCCCTCTGCCCCTGCCGCCCACGAATCAAAATCCTTTCTGGGAAAGGCTGGCCGCAGCGCCGCAGCGCCGGTCGTGCTGCTTTGGCCGCCGCAGGGCTGGCCGGCAGGGCCGGCAGGCTGGCCAACGGCGTGCAGGGCTTACCACACTGGCCGCGCCACGCCACGCCACGCCACGCCACGCCACGCCGTACAGCGCAATGTAGCGCACCGCCTCTATCCGCGCGGCGGCGGGCGCCGGGCCCATGGCCGGGCCCTCCGCGTGTAAGACCTAATGTAGTCTCCTTGTGTGTCCATGGAACTTTAATGTCTGCCGCATGGCCGTGCGGGGCGGGGCCGAGCGGGGCGGGGCGTGGCAAGGAGGCCCGTGGCCAGAGAGCGGCCCCGCCACCGCGGCTCACGCGACTCCCCTGTAATCTTCGGCGCCCTGTCCGGACTGTCCGCGACTCGCCCGCAAGGCCTCCGCCTCCGCCTCCACGGCGTGGCGCACGGCCCGCACGGCCCGCACGGCGCACCCCCAGCACGGCCAGCGGCCAGCCCGACCAGGAGGGAAGAATAGCATTTGGCCGCAAGCACGCGAAGGCAGAGGCAGGCAAAGGCCGCCGCTGCGCAGGTGGACGGCACGGCGGCACATGTGTCGGTGCTGCGGCAGGGGCAGGGGGAGGGGGAGGGGCAGGGGAGGGGGCAATCAGCGGACAAAGGGGTGCCTATCACTCGCCCCTGGTCTTGGTGGGAGTGGACGGCGGGGCGGACTGAGTGCCAGGACCATATGTTGTAAGGGTTGTGAGGCCGTTGCTGCAAAGTAATATCACTGGTGGCGCCTCGGTGGCAGGCCTTTGTTTCTCCAGTCCAGGGGGCTGGCCACGCGATACCCAGACACCGCGACAATTTTGGTTGGGGTGAATTTTCTGCAACTACCCGCCTTTCAGCTTCAGCCAGCGCCCCGCCCCGCCCCACCCCGCCCCGCCGCATCAAGTTGTTCCCACGGAGGTGCCCGCTGGTCCCCGCTGGTCCCCGCGTATGGCCGTAGAGTGCTTGCGTATGCCCCAGGGGCCTTGCCCGCCTTGGCCGCGGCGTGGCGGCGTGGCGGCCTGGCTGGCCGGGCTGTCCGGGCTGCCCTGGAGGGTGGTGCGGGCGACGCCTTGCGCCTACGTGCTGGGGACTCGGGGCCTGTCCCCGCCGTGCCCCCGCCGCCGTGCCCCAACGGGCTGCCCGCGTGGGGCGTCGGAACGCAGAGGGCTCCGGGCAGACCACACCGACACGCCCAGCGCGCTGCCCTGCCCCGCTCCGCCCCGCTCCGCCTCCCAGGCAGGCAACAGGCGCCGCAGGCACATACGTGTGAGGTCATAACATTTGGTCAGCCCTGCGTGGAATTTTGTTTATGAGTCGCAAACCTCCCCGGAGACGGGGCGAGTCGTGGCGCGGTGTGCAGCCATAAGTCGAATGACGGCTGTCCCGGTCCTGACGCCGAGACCGAGGACCCCGGACCCCGGACCCCAGGACCCGACGCCATCTCCAATAAGTGATCATGTCTTTTTGTGGGCATTGCGCACGTTTCCTCACGAAACTGTCGCTACGGTCGAGCCATGCTGCGGCGCTGCGGCCCTACGGATTGGCCCTACGGATCGGCCCTACGGCGTGGATTGGCCGCCCCTCCGGCCGCTAGTCCGCACAGGCCTGGCACAGGCCACCACCGCGCGCCGCTCCCTCAAACATTCATCAGCCTAATTCGGTAATACTGGACCTTGGCTCTCGCGTTCATTACCGGCTGGAGGGCGGGCCCGTCTTATCCACAACGCTGCCACGCTGTCCCACCTCGGTCCCACCTCCCACCTGTCGGCTTGGCCCAGCTTGGCCCAGCTTGGGCCCAACTCGCCTATCCCTCCTGCTCGTGGTGCTCTACCGCGTCCTGCTCGTGGTGCTCTACCGCGTCCTGCTCGCGGTGCTCTACCGCGTCCTGCTCGTGGTGCTCTACCGCGGCCTGCTCGTGGTGCTCTACCGCGTCCTGCTCGCGGTGCTCTACCGCGTCCTGCTCGTGGTGCTCTACCGCGTCCTGCTCGTGGTGCTCTACCGCGTCCTGCTCGCGGTGCGCTACGCCCGGCTAGGCCTGTCCCAGACTCACCCTCGGGCTGCACGTCATCCACTACCGGGCACGCCTGGCACGCCTGCCGGTCCCGCAGCCTTTTGTTGCTGGCCCCTGGACTGTGACGTCCGCACCGTCCCCGTCCACGGACGTCCACGCCCCCGATGCCCTTCCCCCTTCGGCCACCTGCACCGCAGCACCGCAGCCACGTCAATCGGAAAGGAAAGACCGAGTCTCATTGCCTGGCGTCGCCTGGCCGGCCGGGCCGCGGGACAGGCGTGGATACAGGGGGGGTTGGGGGGGGGGGGGGAGATGCCCCCCTCGTAGCCCCTAGATAGCCGCCTGAAAGGTAGGCAAAAGGTGCTGCTTTGCCCCTGTAAGTAGGCAAAAAGTGCGACTTTGCCCCCCCCCCCGTACGCCGCCTCTGGATCCGCCACTGCCGCGGGATGTCCCGCGCAGGAATTTACCGGTGCGTCAGTTTGATGCGGCGATGCGACTCATTTCATTCTTTTCCCTTTCTGGCCCTGTAGGGCTATAACCACGTAGCAGCGGAAATGTATGCGGCGCTGGCGGAAATCCTTGTGGCATCGTGCAGGAACTGGGGACGCGATGGGACTCCCCTTTCGGTCCCCGCCCCGCCAGCCCCGCCAGCCCCGCCAGCCCCGCCCCATTCCTGGAGCACGGCGGCGCCTCGGCCCTCCCTGCCTGCTCCCTGCCCAGGCCGCCCCCGGCCGCCCTGTGCTTCCCTCGGAGCTGGCTCGGGACTCGGGGCAGCCATATTCTTGCCAGAAACGCACATAACGGCTTTTATTTTCTCCTCGCCAACTGCGTTTTCGCTGCTGCTCGTATTCCCCGCCCCTTCGCTCCCTTCGGCCGTCGTTTCTTTCCGTCTCTCCGCCCCCTGTCTCTGTCTTTCCCGGCTGTCCCTCGCACTGCCCTGTCCGGGGCTGTCGAATGGCCGCCAGTTGACTTCCCCCTCCCCATCGGGAAAATGACACCATAACAAGAAACAGCGACTCCGCTCTTCCTAAACGCCCCTGTATAATATACCAGCCCGGCAACTTTGACAAAACTTTGAAACCATCTAAGAGCTCCGTGGAGCAGAGTCGGCTAGCCGAAAATTGCTACCTTGGCCTCGCCGCGTCGCCGCGCCTCGACTCGAGGCTGCTCAAGTTGGCCGGCCAAATATTCCGCGGGCTGCCGTGCCGTGCCCGGCCGTCCCGCGGCGTGCCGTCAAGAGGGCCGCGAGTTGGCAGGCAGTTCGCAGGCGATATTTCCGCTATTATCGCCAAGAGGGTTGGCAGAGTGAGGCATGGCCGGCCAGGCGTGTGTCGCGCAGCAGGCTCATGCCGACCGAACAGTGCTTCCGTCGCTCTGTCTCTCTCGCTCCCAGGGCGTTCCGTAAGGGTGCAAGAGAGACAGAGCAGCGGAGCTCGGTTCGAAGTGAGACTGCTGGCTAGCGTGCGACGGGGGGACGGAGCAGCCCGTCGCGTCGCGTGACGAGTCTAGAGCCCCGCGCATCCTGGACGCTATCAATTATCGACGACTAATCGAATTATTGATGTGATATAAGTTTACTCTCTCCGACTTGTTACAGTATATTAGTGTGCCGTGCGATGATGCTACCGCCTACTGCGTTGTGCACGGAGGCACGGACTGGAATGGCCACTACACTGGTTCGGATCGCGTGTCATCGTCATGCCTGTGGCGGTGTTAGAAGAGATGAGGGTCGCTTTTGACGAAGAGCTGGGTCTCCTCAAAATTGGGCGCTATTGACCCAGCATTTCTTTAAGAGGTCTTGTGGAAACTTCTGAAGTCCCCCCCCCCCCTCCCCCTTTTCTGATGCTCCTAAGGGAAGGCCACCCGCGAAACTTCGGTGTCCGGATGTGCGACGAGGACGAAACGCTAAAAACTGACTTGACAGCTACCAGGAAATCGTAAGGGGTTGAGTGCAATAACAAAATGTTTGAAAATAAAGTTTAATTTATTTTAAAAATTAACAGCAGCTGTTCAGGATATCATTCCAGCTCATCAAATAAAGGCATTACCAACAATCTTAGAAATTAAGTTAAAACATATCTAATTCACCTAACAAATTGCGATATTTTAAAACATTCATGCGATGCAGAACACAAAAAGATAATGTTTGATCAACTTCAATTGAACAATGCTCATAAAGCAGAAAAGGAAACAAAACAAAGAAAAAAAACATTCAAGTGAGCAACAAATATACATCAACAGTTGTTAACAGTTTTAACTTAATAAAATCATAAGGCATCTTGCCAATAAGGAATGGTATTCTTAAAAAAAAAAAACATCACGAAAGGGAACTAGGATATTTCATTAACAGTTATTGAAATAGGCCCCACCATCAGTTCATCCTTGTCCTGATGCAGAGTCACTTGTTTCTTCATGTGCAAATCTGCAAATAAAATAGTATGTTACAACCCAAGCATCAAATGCTAAAAACAGCAACATGATATAAGTTCTGTTCTTACCAAGTAAAGCACCGAAAAAGCCTGCTGCTCGACGCCTTCTTGTTGATGGAGGACACAAAACAGCGATGGGAATTGTGCTTTCACTTCTTTCACGAGCCAATTCACAGGCACTGTCCAAAACATTTTGAAGAACATTAGGCCTGAAATAAAAAACAGAAAATTGATAGAGACTTATATTACAGAGTGACGATGAAATTGGAATTATGAGCTATTTTACCCTAGACTTGACGATGAAGAATCACCAACAGAATCTTTATCCACATCAACACCGGATTCTTGTCTACGGTGTTTTGGTTCAGTTTGTCTTCCTCCATCTGCATCCTCAACACCTTCAATTGGGATTTCATCTGGAAAGGCTTTAGTACCCTCTTCAGAGTTGCAGACAGTGACAGTTTCTTGACCCTGCAAAATCTCGCTTAAATTTGCAGTGCCAACATGGCCTGGAATATCCTGTGCTCTGGAGTCTGCCATCTCCACTGAATTCATAGTCAAGCCAGTGGTGGTGGGGTCTAGTACATCTTGTTCTCTCGCATCTGCTAAATTTGAGGGGTCATGAAAAAGTTCTGCGACTTCAGCTCTCGTACCAGTTTCTTCGTCGTGAAATCCTTCAACAAACTTTGAAGATTCTGATGCAGCAACTTCTTTGTTGGCTGACACTTCCACAACAGTTTCTGTGACACTTTGTCGCTTAGGTGAAGGTAGTATGAGATGATCTAGAGATTGAGACTTTTCTCTTCTGCGTTTCAATGATCCAGGCCTTCCTTCTTCTTGCCCAAACGGGCTAATAGCAATGAATGGTTCATTCAAAGAATCAAATCTTCCACCTAGAGGTGTTGAAGTTTTGTGAAGGACAGTCTCAGACATTTTCTCTGGAGATGAAATGAATGCATCTATGGTTTCAATTATTTCCCCTGGAGGTGCTGAAGTTTTGTCAAGGACAGTCTCAGACATCTTCTCTGGAGATGAAATTAATGCATCTATGGTTTCAACTATTTCCCCTGGGGGTGCTGAAGTTTTGTCAAGGACAGTCTTAGATGTTCTCTCTGGTGACATAGTTAATGCATCTAGGGTTTCAGTCTGATTTCTACTCTCCAGTACAGATGGGGGAATCTAGAGGAACAAAAGAACAAAACCAGGTAACTAATGATTGAGGAACATCAAATTATAAATAGGAGACTTACTGTGACAGGAGAGGAAGCATGAGGAGTAGCATGGAAAGATTCCTGTACAGAACACAAAAAACTAAAATGATTACACGTAATATTGATAAGGTGTGTACTGTAAATTAAAAAAACGCATAAAAACACATCACAACAGAAATAATGCTTAAGACAGGAAATAATCTCACTCTTCGGCCACGTTGATTTAAGGTTCTGTCTAAATCAAAATTATCATCATCTCGAGGGTCTGGACGAGTGACTAAATGACGTGAAAACAACGATGCAAGGGGTCTACTTTGTCCCAGTCCAAGTCTACCAGGTAATCTCAATTGATCAAGATTTAGCCACTTTACTTTAAAAAGCATCGCCATGCAGTCTTCATAAGAATCCTGCAATGTTAAAGAGATGCCTCAATGCACAAGAATATGTACAGAACATATATGTCTTCTAAACAGTTAAATATGAATGAGTTAGATTACCTCCTTTCTCAGTGTATCCCCTGCCATATTTTCAATACGTCTCCGTATTATTGAAGAAGGGATCTCAATTGTCTCGTCAATGGTAAGGTATGTTGGCCTCTTGCGTTTTCTTCCAGTTGCTGGTACATCAAGTAACTCAGACAGCTGTATAGAGTAAAATAAAATTAATCAATGCAGATCTTAGTTGACTACATTTTAATTTTTCACCTAAATTTTTTTTTATGAATAAGCATACTTACCTCCATGTCACTGTCTCCTTGAATCTGGGTGGGCTGGATAGGAATATCATCATTGGGACGGGCTTCAGGAAGTGTACCTGCATTATCGTCTTGATCTGGCAAAGGCAGAATATTTGGAGCAATTTCCTCAATATGGTCTTCATAAATTCTGTGTGCATTGGTAGATTGTTCTGGCTCTGGAGCAATCTCATCTGAATGGGGTTCTGAAATTCTCCCTGTGATGGCATCATGTTCTAGCTCTGGCAGCGTGGGTTGCAGTTCTAGCTCAGAAGACATTACTGAAGCAATCCCACTCAAACGTCCCTTTGACATTCTCCAAGGTAAGCCCTTTGGTTCAAATTCAAGAGAACCACTTGGAGCAGAGTCCTTCACCGCAGGGTCTACACCAGAGGCATGTATCGAAGAGGAGGTTCTGGCGTTGCCAATTTGGAGGTCCTCAACAGGCTTAGGAAGCTCAATGCCCTTTGGTTCTGGCTCAAAAGAACCAGTTGGAGCAGAGTCCTCTACAGCATGGTCTAGACCAGAGACATGTGTCGGAGAGGAGGTTCTGATGTTGTCAATTTGGAGGTCCTCAACCGGCTTAGGAAGCTCAACACCCTTTGGTTCTGGCTCAAGAGAACCAGTCGGAGCAGAGTCACTTACAGCGAGATCTACACCAGAGGCATTTATCTGAGAGGAGGTCCTGATGTTGCCAATAGAGGGGTCCACAACAGGCTCAGAGAGCTCAATGCCTGCTGATTGTTGGTCAAAATTTGCTCCAATTGTATCATGTTGGGAAAGTGCATCACTATTAACCAGGCGAGTTTCTGGAACAGGCTTATCCCTGCAAAGAAAATGAAACATTAAGATTTGCTGGAATTCAAAATAGAAAATAAGATCAATTTACCCGTTCAAGAAGTCAATGAAGCCTCGGCCCCCATCTCCCTCATCACCAAAATGCTGAGAAATGGATATTAATGAGTTAGAGTTTGTAACATTTTTGACACAGCTTCAAACATAAAATTCTATTAGAAGAATATTTACAGTGTCTTCATCAGCTGCGCTAAATTGAATCTCCTCCATTGTGATGGAATTTTCTGGAACTGAGTGGGTAAATTCTAATGGTTCCTGCTCTCCGTCATCAACCACAATGATTTCTAGACAACAAAAAAGAAAGACTTGTTTCATTAATAAACCAGTTACAGAAAATACTTGAAAGAAAATATGAGTAGTACTCACCAAGAATATTTCCAGCAGAGAGTGTTTCTAGAAAAGGGAATAGAACATATTATCATTGAACCACACCTTGAATATATACAAAATAAAAAAAACGCTCACCCAACATATTCCTAAAATCATCATGAGTATCACACAGCTGTCTTCCTGCCAACTGAAATGGGTTATTGTTCTCATTGATACCTCCTTTCTTGCCAGACTTACTGAAAGAGACATGTTTAATTTTAACATTGAAAAGAAAAAAAAAACAATTACAAGAAATACTTCAAACACCAGAGGCATAGAGTACTTACTTGGGAAATTGTAACACCATTTGGGACTTCTCTGAGCTAAATCTCATCTTTTTCAAATTCTTTGAAATTCTACCTAAATCATCTGAAACAGATTAAAATGATCACCACTGTCAGGGTGAGGTTTCCACTGCAAATATCGTTTGATTTGAAGTATCGTACTCACTGATGAGGATGGTTGCTTTCCTATTTAGTGCAACACAGCACCCAAACATAAGCTGGGCGGATAGATACAAACTGAAACATCCGTTATGCATGGCGAGTTTTCTGGGAATGGTGGATGTGACTATGACCCTCCTTAAAACGTCCTCTCTGCCGGTGGAAGAAAACCAATACTTAGACAAGATGAAAAAGGTCAGCTGTGAAGAGGTGAGGCACTTGGACGGGATTTACTCACATCACATGATAGACGTCGAGCTTTGCGACCTTTCGTGTTGTAAGGTACTTATTCAATCTTTCTCCTTTCTGAGTAGCAGCTATCCACACCACAAAGAAAGGATGGCCTCTCTTGAGGAGGAGTTCGGGGCAGAAGAACATGTTGCCTTCACGCACACACTCTGAGGTAAACCTTGCTCAGAAACAAACATCAGTCTCCAAATCACACAGCGTCAACTAAAAAACTGAAACACAGATTTTACTTACTGAATTGAACAGGAGACAGAGCGTAAAGCACTCAGACAACGTGCAACAAGCAACCAAGACACCCAGGCTAGACGTGACCGTTACCGCCAACCACTCGGTTCAACAAGTTCCGTTTGGCTCTCGCTGTGCGCTTGCGCAGCGCACAAAACCGACTTCCGGCGAAGGAATTTCAAAATTTGAGTCTTGGGAAAACCACATCCGTAATCATGCGTTAGATGCACAAAAAAGAATACTTGGGATAGAACTCCTCCTCAAAATGGAAAGTTATTTAGCCAATTAAATGGTAGGAAATAAAATCAAAATGAAATAAAACGAGCGAGTCAAAGACAGCGGCAGGCTTTGGGATTGAGGCTCACCCGAGCCGGCACTAGACCGGTTGCCAACATAATTGGTTGTCTATGCCAACATTTCCGTGCCAAACTGACTAAAACCAAAAGTTAAATTATCGAGAAAAAAGGTAGAGATATAAGCCTCAAACAAATTTAAAACAGTTTAAATCCCGAAAACGTCAAAACACGAGGATTAGGCTTCCGCCGTTCCTGGACAAAATTCCGACCAATTCCCACTCCAGCCACTCCAGCACGGGCGCCTTGGAATTCCACGCGGGGGCGAGGCGAGCACACGCAAGCCAAGGCCGAGTTTAAAATGAGTTTGAAGGACATTCTCAAGGTTTAAGAAATACACAAAGCAATTATTAATTTTCTATATAACATTTAATGAAAATATTTCTTACTTGCAGACCGCTGGTAACCATAATAAAGTCATATTTCAACCATGAAACAAAACAAAGAGGCGGATGCACATATTTTAACACTTTCAGAGGCAAGAAGACACACATTGGGGTCTACTGAATCCCACCTCCCGTGTGTTGTGGGAAAATTTGTAGATACATAAAATGGGGAATAAAGCAAAAAATAACAGACAAAAGCAGCAGTTGAGCTTGCAATTGCTCAGTCTGATGAAAACTGTGGCTAAATGCAATGCCAAGTCTCCATGTAAAATGGTTCCACTGAGCTATCAGTTCCAAGAAAAGAAAACGCTGGTTTTTGAACTGCTTCTACTTCACATTTACTGAGTAGACATTACCTTGAAACATCAAAACATACAATGATAAAAATTTACTTTAAAGGGAGTGCTAAGCTCTTTGCAAATATGCTGAAATGTAACATAATAGTCAAGATTACCACCACTCAAAACTGTTAGCTCAGTGTCCATTTCAAGATCCTAGACTACAGGAAAAAAACATGGTAGTAGTAACAATAAAGATAAAAATAGTTGTGATAATGATAATAATAAAAATAGTGATAATAATAATAATAATAATAATAATAATAATGACACTGATGATAATAATCATAGCAATAATAATGAAGACTGTAATCAAAATCTCACAAACAACAATTACAGGTCAATAAATTCAACTGTGATCAAATAAGTGCTGAGAAAAAGGGACGTGTGGATGCAGTCAGCTAGAGAATCCAGGCTCATTGACTCACCCACACTGAGAATCACAGAAAAGACTAAAGGCAAAACTCACTGCAAACAACTACATGTTAGACAACATAAGCCTACACATCCTACTTCACTCTGTAAAAAATAAATTAATATACTGTGTAAATAAACATTGTAAAACAAATTTATTGTAAAACTTTATCAATACGAAACAAATGAGGAACAGAAGGGACTGGTAGTAAACTTTGTTATATAATATTTGTTCAACTTCTCACAGAATAAAACGATAGGTACACTGAAGATTAGTGGATAAATCAGCACAATGAGAGAGCGAGAGCTAAGACTAAGAACTGAATTCTACTCATGATTTAAGTTAAAAGTCGACTTAACAATGGACCCCTCAAAAGCATTTGGTATAAACTGTGCTCTATTACTTTATTTGTTGCACCATGAAGCTTCTGCCTAGCCATGGTGTAATGTGCACAGATTAATTCATTATACTGGCATCCCATCACAGTTTCAGCAAAGGACACTCATGGTGCACGAAAAAGATGCTTGGAGCTCAGCTTACCAAAGTTGTTAGAGGGTTCACCTGCATTTTTCTGTCAAAGTTTGCTATCTGCAGTCCAATACAACCATGATATAAAGAAGAATTGTGAAGAGAAGGAAACTGTATGAAAGCCAAACAAATTTGGGGACAAAAACAAATACTGCTGATAAGTGATTGCTAGATAAAATTCAGTCCTGGTACATCCATGTCTCAAGCAATGCAAGAAATATATCTGCTGGTCTTGGTAAAATAAGCAGACTTAGCATTCTTACACACATACTTCTTAATGCAAATGCAAATTTAAAGAATACCAACAAAAACAAAACCAAATCTAAAAAAGATAGTTTAAGGCACAATTCTAATACATCTTCACAGAGAAAGATGTAACAGACATACTGTAGCTATGGAAAATAAATGGAGCCCGGGATTCCAATGCTATTCATCGATGCATTTCTTTTCAACGAAAAAGATAAATGAACATTCTTCTGATACAGAAAGGAGTAAACACTTAGGAATTTCCCAGGAATTATAAAAAAATAAAATATTGATTTAGCTCCACATTTTTGTTAAGAAGCTTTACTACCTATAGTTTCTACACTTTGAGACTTAGCATCAGTCAAGGGATGTGTTAATTGATGGCCTTTTGCTGTTACATGTTTTAAAATGAAATTGATATGAGAAATAGGTTTACAATCCATCCAGAAACAGACCCAAACTACATTTTCAGTCAATATCTAGGTACATGTGGCACTATAGTCATTCATATTTCAAAGAATCCAGTCCAGCAGAATTGTGGTAAAAGAAAAGCTGTAGTTTAACTCTTTAGTGGATGAAGTGAAACAACTTAAGATGTTTAACACATGAGGTGCAACACAAACTATATATGGAAACCAGTAAAACAGTTGCATTCAAGGTCAAGCATTAACAACTTACACCATGAAAGAAAATAATGAAATTTTGAGTGAATCACTTTTACAAATGTGGAACGCTTTGCGCAACAGACACTACCCAAGCATGCCACGAGGCAAAAAATGCAATACAAAAAGATGTCAGAAGAACCCACAGATACAATTTAAATCATTTCAAAAATAAAATTGCGCCCCTGAGTTAATTTGAGTTTCTAGATGTCCGAAAAAAGGGTAACTCTCATGTCCAGCTGGAGTAAAGAATTGGATTTCAAATTTGGCAACGGAGATTGAATATTTTCATGACATTCATAGAATGAATCAAACTTCTATAGGCAGGAAATCGCAATATCCATCAAAATTCCACATGAACCACAATTATAAAGATAAGACCTCAACCAGACCTTCAATCAAAATCGAAATAAAGACTGACTGAAAATGATCTCAATTGTTCCCCATCAAATTGAATTTCAACTGTGTGAAAACACTGACATTTCTCATGAAATTGTTGAATATACATTATGTTTCATATCAAAATCAGTCATGTCACAAATCACAAATCTCAACAAATCAAGAAAGCAGAGAGAACATATGCAAACCAAATATTGCATAACCACAGTCATTGAAAAAATGCAATCAAAAGTTAATAAATACTAAGAAAGAAACACAGTGAAAACTATCTGGATTTTGACAATGATTTTGATCACTAATAATGAATGAAAGTGTTACAGAATTATCTCTGCTTTCTGTAACTGTAAACCAAGAGGAAATTAGGTTTGTGACTTAAAGCACACAGCTTGATTGCATGATTTATCTAATTTAGTGTAGTCGACAGATCATACTCATATTCACAATCACTTTTACAAACACACAATCTGCCATAAACAAGCAATTACACAAAGGTTTCTAAACCCATTGGGTTGATAACTATAACCTTGACGGTACTCACTGCCAATTCTGGCAAGGCAGATAAACACAAGATGTGCCTAACTGCAGTTTCAGTCTGACAATAATTGGAGCATTCAACATATCCAGTGCAGCTCCTCTTTGCACAAGAGTAGAGCAGGATTTACACTTACGTGAAAAAAGTATAAGATATACACAAGCACATGTTGCAAAGTGAACATAGACAGAATAAGACTATACCTAGATATTAATTTGCTGTCTTTTGAGACATAGAAGATGCACTCAAATTATGCACTTCTCTCTTCATAACAGAACTCATCGGGACAACAACTAGAGAAGCTGACATCTGACGTTAATACATGATTTTGCAGGAAATTTACAAGGCGAGTTGTTTTCTTTTTTACTAAGAAGTCATGAGTATTTAAGATTAAGGTGAACTGAATTTGTCCTCCACCTAATGACACAACTACACCAAAGAACACTCTGCCCCATAACCACCACCAAAAACGGAAGCAAAGAGCACCTCACAAAATTCCTACAAAAGCTTTCAGCATCTGATCTTCATTGTGTTTTTTGTAAGCTTAGCTATTTAAAACACTTCTGTCCACTACACATGTGTGGCACTATCTAGTCTAAAAAAACAAGGAAGAAGGTTAAAGAGTATTAATCAATTCTGGCATGATTGTGAGAAAATATTTTTTTGTTTAAAATAAATATTTCATGTAAAGTAGCATACGAAAATACCATGCATCATGTCATACCAATCATGAATTACGGTAATCTGTACGAGTATAGTGAGATAAACAGCAATATAAATTTCGAACAGAGAAAGTATCTAACACCAAAGAACAAGCAAACCCCCAGGTGTTTAATTAGTAGAAAAATGTTCTTATACAGATGATGTTTTTGCAAACACTAACAAATAAGTCGTCAAGTCATGCACCAGCCTTGCAGTTTTTCTTGGACAGAAATAAGGCAAAATACAATTCATTTCATAAGTACTTGGGACACCCCTTCGAGAGAAACTTCAGGGTTCAAATCTAAACTACCCAGGCAACATATTCTGAAATTTTTGATTCAGCCCAGAATGCTTCAAGAACTGGATAACAGTTCACACAAATAAACGAGCTCATTGAGCTTGCTGGAAGCTCAAAGGACAAGGTCAATGATTTTGTCAACACGGTACAAGTTTGCTGCTATATCTAGACAAGTATTCCAATAAAATAGACCTATATAACAAGGTGTATATAAACATGTTTAAGACGTTCAATTGAATCATTCATTTCACACATGTGCATGTGTAATGCGTATTAATATATACATATACTTTCAATAAACATATGCATTTCCTAACCATCATAATAAATACATATCAACATTCATAATTTTTAATGACATAAAAATAATTTGACTGCTTGTTGAACAGTTTAGTTAAAACCATTGTTTTAAAATGGCTACAATGCCAAAGGGACAGAAGAAGTTGCTTACAGCATCTCATTATCACAGGTTGCACTATCCATAACTGCTCAACTGGGAGCAAATCACACCCAACAGAACGGGCTTTTCTTACCCATCTGGATCGCAATATTCCTCAATGTACAAGGAATAATAAATTATTACCCTCCTTATCATTCAATCACAAGTTCCCTAATTCTACATCAAAACACAGGTGGTGTAGAAGGAACAGATATTGGGAAAACAATGTCAAAATTCTATGTACACTTCAACAAGTGGAGATATGGCTAAATGCTATGAACATTTGGCTGCATCACATAATAAAAGATCACATTTAAAGAAATTGCTATATGTTTACTCTATCACCCTCAAATAACTGAGAGTTTAAAACTAAAAACAAGACACACTTGTAGACCTTGATACTGAAAAAGCGAATGAAACAAAGCCCCAGCTATAGCAGCCAAAGTCAATGAATGGCCCATAAGGTTATAGTCAGCCAATAAAACAAATGAATCCAAACCCACAATATATAAATATGTGTAGTGCCAGGGGATAAAACTCAACCATAACACATGATTGCTTCCAACACAAATGAAGCGTGAAGATAAGAAGGCATAGCTGAGATTACTAAAAGTATCAACCAAACATTGAATTTAAAAAATATTGTTAAAAATACATGAAGGGCTTTAAGGCCGTTTTCTTAGAAAACAAATAACACAAAACATTTGGTTACATCATCTTACTAATTCACTGATGCCTTCACTAGCATGATATCTGTGATGGTATCATGATAATATTATGAAGAGTGTTAAGTTGCTACAGATCACTAAATGATTTGGACAACAAAACTGGCCGAGGATGGGATAGAAGATTGCACCCTAACGGCACCATAGCAAATTACTACAAAATAGGTGAGAAAACTTTTCTTCTCTCATAACACCATCTCCTTTTTCCTTTGCTTTTCATTGTTTTGTAGTACCTTCTTCATTGCACCACCTCTTCTCTTGTTCTTCAAGATCTAGTTCGAGACGAAGAGCTTGTTCCATCATATCATTGGCAATTACAGCATCATAGGTGTCCTCCTAATACAAGAAACAGAAACGGGGGAATACTCAGAGTTTTTAAAACTGCAATTATCTACAGGAATTTTTCACCAGGTCAAAGGGTACTCTAATTTGAAAGAAGTTTCTTACCCCTTGAACATGAATATTTCCAGATGGTCGCATATTCCAATTGTAATTTGAACCATCTTTCCAAGAACTTATCTCTGCAGAATTTACTGGTTGACTCTGGAAGAGACCACAATATTAAAATTTACTCCAGGGGCAGTGCATAATTATTTGATTTTCAATAAACTCACCAATCTGATTTGTTCTCGAATGCCATGTTCTATGGCAAATAATTCAGAAGTGAGCTTCTCACTTTCCTGATAAAGAAAGATAATTGATACATTAGTTTCCAGACAAAAAAGGGTAAAGAAGAGAAAGTAAGCTTGCTGTATGTTAGAAATTCCACACCTGCATACAATGAGTCTCTGGATCTAGCTTCATGTTATGAATACCCATATGCAAGTGCATAAGCTGTGATTCTAATTGTTGCCTAAGAGACAAAAGGGTAAGAAAAGTTAAAACACGGGCGCATTACACGATTTAAAGAGACTTCAACAGCAGAGATTCTAACAGCAAATTACTCACTTATCTTCAGGCATTATGAACTGAGTTGAATCAAGAATACTGTGACCTATTGTAATGAAACTGTCACCACCTTGAGTACTTTGGGCTGTCAATATATGAGAATTAGATGGATAGCCTGTTAAAGTATTAAAAGTGATAAGATAAGAATATTCTTTAATGATTAGCACAGATGAAAAACCACAAACCTTGAACATTGTGTAACAACATGGATGCCATAGGACTAGACGATGGAACTGATTGCCGGCTCCCAGGGACTGACAGAGGAGACTCCATGAATGGGTTGCCAGGTTGAATCAAGGTTTTTGTCATACGAGAAATTGGCCCAAACTTGCTCATAGCTGGGCCTTCATGGGGGACAAAATCATCATCGGACAATAGGGAGTTTGGTCTGCAAAAGAAAATAAATTTTATAGATGTAACAAAATTAGAATATTTCCATTTCACGTAATTCTTACCTGTTAATCATTGATTGGGGATTGAGATGAGCAGTTACGTGGCCATCCACAACATCACCAGCACCCCAACAAGGTGGTGGACCACACAATTGGCCATCGACATTCAACATGTGAGAAATCTACAAATAAAAAATGTGTTTGAAAAAATTAAAATATGTTGCAGAAGTTTGAACAGAGATCAGTACACAACTCACCCTTACTTGACTTGAAATAGCATTGGCTAACTGTTTTCCAACAACTTTTTCAAGTTGTGAAACAATTTTGTTTTTGCGTTGCTGGAGCATGAGGAGCTCTCTTGATGACAAAGCTTTTCCTGGGTTTGTTTGGATTATTCTCGGATGTAAATGCTTCTGGTGCAATGCCTCAAGCTTTGATGCATTGCGAGCGTTTTCACATGGCAGAGGAGAAGAAGGTGAAGAATAGTCCACATTCTGAGTCTGCATGGTTTTGTAATGCTGGCCAGAATGTACTCCAAGCATGGATGCATGAGGTGAAGGGCTGCGACATCAACATTTTGATCAAATATTAACATTCAAGATAATTAAATTATTTTATTAAAATTTTCTTTAAATAACCTTTAGATAAGCTTATGCACATGCCCATACCTGTAAGTATCTGGAGAAAAAATAGGAGTCTGTGCAAAAATAGCCTGCTGCATTGGACGAATGGGTTGAAATGATGTAACTTGCACTGGTGGCCCCTGCTGCTGAAGTGGTGATGTCTGAGTTGGGGAAAGTAGTTGAGGAGATGATGCCATACCTCCACTTGAAAATGATGTGTACTCCATATCGGATCTTGCGGACGACACACTCACGACTGGTCTAAAGCTAACTGTTTGTGGGCCTGATGACAAGAATACTACGGATTCAAAACAACAATTATTAGTATCAAAATGAATGGTAAGCATAAATTGATAAGCCACAGAGGTCGCATGCAAGTTAAAATTACTTTTTCTCATTGATCCAGACTCCAATGGTGGACTACCATAAACATTCTCTTCTCCTGAGGCGACACCATCTCCATCTTCTCTTTCTTCCTTTAAGTCACTTGACGTCTTCATTGCCCTTCCAGCATTCTTCCGATTCTTTGCCCGATATCTGTAATACAAAGTGGTAACTGAAGTCTATTCCTTTCCCTAAATTAACGCTTTGTAAGTCTTTAAAAGCATCCACTTACTTGTCAAGCTCTTCTTCGGAATGAGCAAAAGTACAGTTTGCCCCTCTCGGGCAAGAGCTGCGTAGAGTCAAGTCCCTACACATACTGATTTTGTACTTAGTACCATGTTGCCCACTTTGATCTGTTAATTTGCGAGAACCATGTAATTGGATGAACTCCACTAAACCTCTGACCACAGCTCGTACTCCATCTAGAGCATGCCACAGCTCGGTCCAGGCAGGAGCCTCACATTCTGGAATGGATGGAAAATTGATTAAATACTCTGTTCACATACCAAATTTGTACCAAATATATTAAATACCACCTACCTGGGCTAGGGTCTATTTCAGCAAGTAGCTCTAGGTGAGGTCTCAGAACTGACAGTTTTCCTGGATCTCCAGTTCTTTGAAGTGCAATTATTAGCTCATGAACTGACTGTGAAAAAGACTGTGGACTTTGAAGTTTATCTATAATACTCTGCATCTGTGATTTGTGAACTGTATCACCATATAATAGAGCGCTCCACTGATCAGGAGCAATGCGCAAACCTGCCTCAGTAGCAATCTGAACAATTTGAGCATCATGTTCTCGTCTGAGGGCTTCATAAGTTCGGAAGTCCTCCTTCAATTGCATTAAGGATGAATCTCCTTCCCGTTTTGAGACCTTAAAACACAACAATAATAATAATAATTAGATATTGGATAATAATAAAAAATAACATTTAAGGAAAGGTAGAGATTATTTTAAAACCTTAAAACAAGAAGCACGATATAAGAGTTGAACAACATGGCCAATGCTCGTTTTGGAGGCTTGAGGAAAGTGCTGTTCTAGCCTCTGCACTACAAACATTACTAAGACTTTTCTTGACAAGGCAGAACCATCTTCCAAAGCAAGGAGAACAAGCTTCAGGACTTCTTCTTGCATAGCTGTAAAAGAAGAAGGACACCATGTGCATATTTGTTTGACTGGCCTCAATCTTAAATGATAAGGGTAACAGGTAATTAATGATAAAAATTTGATTTTTAAGAAGAAGTTTCAAACCTGGTCCAAGAAATTGACATCCTCGAGCCCTTACAGCAGCCCACAAGTTTGCCGAAAGCTGCTGGGGATTCTGGTGCTGAAGAATCAGCTCCATGACAGTCCTCTCTCCTAACGACCGGGTTGCTCTCAATGCTCTTGCTCTCCCCTCAGCCTCCATTAATTGGCAATTGATCAAAGTCACCAGTTTCCGCTGCATTGGACGAGAAAGGAAACTTGTGCCATTGCCTCCATTTCCTACAACATAAAGCCCGTATATCCAGTCGTAAGAAACAAAATAAAGATTGCAGCCACATGTGATAGTCAGAATGGATTTTTAAAAAAAGATAGATTGTACCAATAATAAACTAACCCATGGAAAATGGTTTGAGGTACAAGGCAAGTTCTTCGATGCATTTTTTTGATTGAAGGTAGAACCTGCAATCTTCAGGATGTAGATTATTGGGAACAAAGTCTTGCTGCTCCTCACTTGCATCTGCTGTTCCATTTAAAAGAACGAGTTGCAATAAGGCATAATTTACAGGAAGTTCGTCCAGGTCTGTATTGATGATAGCCTTCAAAAGCAAAAAGATTCATGTCATTCTTAATGTACAATTAAAGGCAACAGGTGAATTAAAATGGGCAGCTGAGCTGAATCTTCTGTTAAGGAAGGGACTGTAACTAGAAGAGAAATTTACCTGGTCAAAAGGACACTGTTTACAGTGCAGATTGTTGAGACATGTCCGACAAACAGTGTGGCCGCAACCCAAGCTTATGGGACTGCGGAGAGCAGGTGCAAACTCATTTGTGCACACTGGACATGACAGGAACTCAGTCCACTGTGGAGCCTGGATCGGCATTCTGAAAGTAAACACGCATTTAATAAAAACTAAACTAAACATATCACAAATATTTTATTTAAAGTTCAGGATAATATATGGTAAAAATTTGTTGCAGATACGTTTGGAACAAACTCCGATAGTAGGTCTTCAAAACAGTTAACCTTCCAATAAAATGAAAAAGAACTGCATGACATTTAATATCAGGTAGAGTATTTTCAGAGATTAAAATAAAAATCAATGTCCATTAACAACTCTAGTGCAATGAGATGCTGAAAATACTTGCACATTAGAATTATTTTATTGTTCAATGCACGATGATGATTCAGCTGCTAAGATAGCTAATTTAAATATGAACATCTAGGTACAACGATGCGCAAATATCACTGTTTGTTTTCACTAACTGCCGCTTGTAAAAAAAAATAGGGGACAAAAGTTGATGACGTTCTTACGTAAATTTGTTGTGATTGACTTCATTCACTAATACTATGGCCTAGATCATTGACGTTCCGTACATAAGTTGTGAAACACAAATGTTGGGTATTCACAGCGGAATTTTTGTAGAAATTATCACCGACAACCTCAATAGAGCCTTGCAAGTTGCGAAACGCATTGCAAAAACAATTTAGACCAATTACCTTAGATTTAGTTACTCCATCGCACATCCAGATGACTTTTAGGCGGCCATGACACTTCATTGTTGACACATCGCCACCGATCTTCACCACAAGCAACAGATGAAGTCGCCAGTTTGGTAAACCCGCAAAACGTTCAGCATGAGGGTAAAAAATAAATAAGGAGAAAATTCTGCACCTAAACTATTCAATACATTTCCAGATTAAATAGTAAATTATTTAACTGTAAGCTCATACTCGCGGACTATTTCTCATCCGGCCGGGAACATTCTGGCACCATGGCACGGCGCGCGAACATACAAAATCCAGTCAGATAAACCTGAAGTGGAAAGGTGCTCTAAGGTAATCTAAGTTCACCTAAGGGGGGATTGCCGTGCTTTTTCTTACATGACGTTATTATTCAACTAAGATACAAACGTGATTCTTTTTCACCCTTCCCGGATGTTCTTTTTCCACGATCCTTAATTAAGGTGCCCGTATCGCTGCCCGTCCTGGGACTTCCCCGCAAGCGCGAATGTGCCTTTCGTGTGCAATGTGCATAAAACGCACAAAGAAGATAACACACATCATAAACCTCCATTAGCCTACTGACGAAATGAAACAGTGCGATGAGTAGTGTCATAGATTAAGAACGCCCATGGTCCATGTGTGTCATAGCGTAAGACCATGGGCGGTTGCCGTAGCGTGAAATCTGAGTGAAACTAGTGAAACCCTCCCGTCACCTAATGTGTTGTGATCTTTTAGACTGAGCCTGACCAACAGCATACCCCAGTCTTGCGATACCTAGTTTGTGTGGGTGTGTTTTGTACACTAATTGTGAAAGTTCGAACGGAGGCAGGAAACAGAGCGGGAGTGCCAACGTGAATAAGAAACTTCACCGATATGCTAGAAATGTTTTCAAGTATGCCATTCCTAAAAGGTACAAATGTCGAGATGAGTGATTGGCAGACTTAAATAGAAACGAATGACTGAGACTGGTTTACCTGACATACAATGAGTCATAAACGCCCAAAATGGTGAAGTTTCTCAAGGTGTTGTGCAAGGCTGTGTCAGAAGTGCGTGACCCTTCTCTCTCTCTCCTCCTCCTCTCTCTCTCTTCTGTTTGTTGTTTTTGGAAACAGCTGGGGCCGTAGCGTCTGAAACGTCTAGCCAAGGCAGGGGCACGGAAGGCATGATCAACAAATTAATCTGATTTGTCGCAGTAACGTTATTGCAATGGACCCCGATATCCTTTCTACGTTTAAAATACTCATTATTGGTGAAAGTGCTGTCGGTAAAACAAGGTGGGTGTGTTGTTACGTTGTTCGTGGAGAAATGCTTTGCTGGATTGTCGCCTTGAGTGATTATCGTTCTTGTTTCCCTCACGTTTAGAATGATGTCATTCACACTGCAATGACGCAGTTCCGAAAACGCTCTTTTTCTCATTGACGTATATTATTTTGTTTGAGAGGGTGAACCAAAAACGTCTTGTCTTGGTTATGTTCTCATTTGGCTTCGGTTCCTTCTTTTGTCAGAAATATCATGGTTTTGCTTTCAGCCTAACATTGGCAAGGATCAATTCTAATGCTTTGCGTTTTGTTTCCAGTTTGCTTCTACGGTTCATAAACGACAACTTTGATCCTAATGTATCAGCTACGATTGGAGTTGATTTTAAGACCAAAAAGGTTACTGTTGATGGCAATACTGTAAAGCTGGCTATTTGGGTGAGTTCTCAGTTCATAGTAACAATGATTTTGGTTTCCTGAAAACAACTACTGATTTGCATCAATTTTTACAGGACACTGCTGGTGTAGAAAGATTCAGGACACTGACACCAAGCTATTATCGAAACGCTCAGGGTGCTATTGTGGTTTACGATGTTTCCAGAAGGGAAACTTTTAACAAAATGCAATTGTGGCTAGATGAACTTGATACCTACACAACAAAGAGAAATATTGTTAAAATGATTGTTGGAAACAAAATTGATCAGGTATAGTATTAATTTGATATCCCGAATGGATGCTTCACAATAAGGCACACAAAATAAACCAAAAATTTACTCATATAATTGTTTGTTTGTTCTATAGGATACTAGAGAAGTGACCAAAGAGGAAGGAATCAAATTTGCTAGAAGACATGCAGCACTGTACATCGAATCTAGTGCAAAGACCCGCGACAATGTTGAGTGTGCCTTTGAAGAACTCGTTCAAAAGGTAATACCAGAATAATAATAGGTTTTTAAAGTTTTAAAAGTTCTTTTTTATTGGAACTAAGTTGAAAATTTTGAGAGCTCTATGTGTTAGGAGTTATCATTTTACACTGGAAATCAAAAACCATGTTTTTGAGAGCAGATACAATTACCAGCTTCAAATTGCACTTTCATTTCACTTTTGCTAATTTTCTTGTTATTTTTCCTTACTTAGATTATACAAACTCCAGGTTTGTGGGAAGCATCAACCAACCAAGCTGGAACAATCTCAGTATCTCAGAATGACAGCAGTGATGGTTACCTACCGAAGTGTGGGGGATGGTCATGCTCTTTAGCTTAAAAATGAGATAAGGGTGGCCTTGTATCATGGTTTAAATTGGTATGACTTAAAATTTATGGGTGCAGGAAAGAAGTAATTTTGAATATCCTGTAATTTTACAGAAGATGTACAGAAGATCTGTGTTTGTTTTTCCAAAAGTATAGAGAAAACCAATCATGTATTTTTGTAATTATTTAAGGGTACTAAGTCCTCATGTAAGAATGTTATGGCTTAGCTTGAGAAGCAATCATTTTTAACTTTTATTGTGATAAATTTACTAAGAATAAAAATTGATTTTTAAAATATTTTTGGCGTTATTTTTCCTTTTTCCCATTTTCTACAGCCGTTTTCCGAGAGGCTACTGTATCCGGTTTTCCCCCTATTGGTTCTACATCAAATTTCCCTCCAGTAGAAAGGTCTACCAATCCTATCATCAACTGCTGCACTGCAGCCTTCCCTTCAACACCCCTTCCCACTCAATGAATGAAGTATGCAGGTTTCTTTTCTAGATGCTGATAGAATCCGAAAAATAATCTACGATTAAGTTCTTTACCGTTTTCCCGAAAGTGATGTTGGAATGAATAAAGTAATGTTTCCCCGCCTCCGACGTCAGCACTTTCGGATGCCACATCATCGTGCACAGAGTCCCATCCCATTCGCTTCCAAGCTAAGCGTGATATCTAAAGAAACTTGGCAATAATTTCCTGCGTAAGAGTCATTTTTTGTCGAAAGGTTCTTAAGGCCGGTCTCTGCACAAAGTTCGAGTTTTCCCTAGAGACCCTCCGCAGTGAAGTGAAGTGCTGGCGAGGCTCGAGGGCCGCAGTGCAACGAGAAGTGGCCGCGTGGTCGTCAAGCGTCACGTGACTCGAGTCGAGGCTGCCAGACAGACCCTCCTTCCTTTATTTAGCACACCTTTGCATGGACACAGCATCAGCATGAGCGCCCCAGCACCGCAACCCGTAGTTAAGCGCGGTATCGTTAAACAGGTACAGAAAACTGCTCAAAACCTTTGTGAGCGATGAAACGGCGCTCTCGGCGTCAGTTTGGAGAGTTATTGGCAGGGCAAAGTTAAAATTTTCTGTGAAAAAATTGATGAAGTGTCAGCCGCATCTGAAAGCCTTCAGTTCTGTCTGCTGGCAAGTTTCGAGTTTGTCGGCTTCTGTTTTAAGGCAGGAATGCAATTGCTTTCTGCTTTCAGGTCCTTTCAGGGGACTCTGTGGTGATCCGCGGTCCTCCTAGGAAGGTTGGGCCCCCAGTTGAGAAGACCCTTCTCTTCTCCAACATTCTGGCACCCAAGTTGGGCCGTCGAGCCACCGCAAGGTATGTGCTCTGATTTCGTTCAGAAGGGAATGCTCTTGAGCTCGCCGAGGAAATGTGCCTTTGAGTAATTTTACGCGACGCCTTTTGTTTCTTCTGTCGGGAAGTTTGTGTGCTAAGTCCATTTGTTGGCGTTCAAGGGCCTCCAGCTGTGATGCCAGTCGTACGTTGCAGACTGCCAACGAGCAGCAGTACCTTGCCAACACAGCTGATGCCCCTAACCTCAAAATTGTCTAAAGTCACCGGGCTGGGTTGCACCGTGGCAATGGACTTCACTTTGGCATCTTATTCACTAAGTCAAAATTTGTGTAGGCGCGTCATTTTGCTGTTCAAGGTTTACTTCAACCTCTCTTTTCCAAAATTTACAGTGTCCTATCTGCACTTGTCTTTGAGTTCTTTGAATTTACTGGACCACTTTGCAAGGACTGGTCAGATTAATTCACCTAAATGTATTTCCAGTGCTGCAGATACCAAGGATGAACCTTATGCATGGGAGGCTCGTGAGTTTCTCCGGAAGAAGGTGATTGGTGAGCCTGTGCTGTTTGTTTCAGAAGTAAGCTCTAACAACCGAGAGTATGGTGTAATTTACCTTGGCAAAGGTGAGTTATGTTTCAGACTAGAATGATTTATAGTGTAAGGCACAACCTTTGCATGGGGGGAAAAATCTATTTCATCTTTGTGCAGATATCCAAACTGGAGAAAACATTACTGAAGCCTTGGTATCTGAGGGTCTTGCAACTGTGCGACGGGATGGACGAGCTCCAGAGGTCGCCCGTCTCATTGAATTGGAGGATGCGGCCAAGGCTGCTAGTAAAGGAAAATGGGGTGGAAATCCATCAGTAAGTCAATGTTCCTAGGTTTCACCCTATTTGAACAATTCTGGGAACTAATTGAATACTCTGTTTGCACCTCAGGAGCACATTCGTGACATTAAGTGGACTATTGAAAATCCCATGGCATTTGTTGATAAAATGGGACAAAAACCTATCAAGGCTGTCATTGAACATGTTCGAGACGGCTCCACTGTCCATGCATTCCTTCTTCCTGATTTCTACAGGGTGACATTGATGATCTCTGGTATTCGGGTAAGTTACATCCAGCCGAAGCAAAATGTAGAAAGTAACAAACCATCGAGCAGTTTGAGTGGGTCCATTCTGGGTAGCCTTTTATTTAGTTTAATATTTTTGCATTACTACGCAGGCTCCCAATATTCCAAGGCCTGATGAAAACAAGCAGCCAGATAATGCTGCTGGAACTCTGGCAGAGGAAGCCAAGTACTTTGTTGAATGCCTTCTTCTTAACAGAGATGTGGAAGTAGTTTTGGAGTCAACCAACAATAATAATCTTGTTGGATCTATCCTTCATGAGGTAAGAACATATTTGCAACACCCTTGATGTTGGTACGCAGTTTTGAAATACTTTCAAGGCCTGAGTTTATTTTACATGAATTTCAGAAAGGAAATATTGCTGCTGCCTTACTGCGTGAAGGCTTTGCTAGGTGTGTGGACTGGTCCATTGCTCACATGAAGACTGGTGCAGACAAATTGCGTGCTGCTGAGCGCGAGGCCAAGGAAAAGAGGCTACGAATTTGGAAGGACTGGACTCCCACAAATACTGTAAGTTTGTATTCCTGTGTATGTAAATCGTACTAGAGCTTTTTAAGAAATTGTGGTGGTTTGTCTATTAATCTCATAACATACATTTATAACATGTTTTTGTATGTAGTATACATATTTATTAGTGAAATAAGAATTGTAACTGGTTTTTTGATGTTTGTTCATGCTTACTCTTAATGCATCATGCACTTGAGCTCTGTTATTTTTAACTTAAACCTGGATGCAACCCTTTGGGAAATATTTTTCAACCTAAAATCCAAAATCCTCCATGTGGAAGATTGACAATGTTATTAACCATTTCTGTAAAAACAAAAAGGAAACAAGCAAACAAAAAATCCCTTTTTGTGACCATTACTTCTATTTTTCTGAACAATCCTTCTGTGCTTAACATTTTTACATGGCTCAGGATGCATGTTTGCATGGTGATGGAAGGCGGCAGGTATGACAGTGACTTGGGTTACACAGTATTGATGTTTGTTTTCAATAGCATGGCTAAATTACAAATACTTAGGTGACTCAAGTTTTTAACTGAAGGTCTTATATTAATTTTTCAGAACCCTGGAAAGGAATATGCTGCCACTGTTGTTGAAATCATGGGTGGTGATGGATTGATGGTCAAGATTGCTGGGCAATCTGCACCCAAGAAAATCTTCCTGTCCAGCATTAGGCCCCCAAGGGAGCAAAGGTGATCTAATTACAATTTTAAGGATAATTCTAACTATATTCTGTGCTATTGTTTTTACTTTTATCTTGTAATGCAGGCCTGCTGAGGATAAAAGTGAAGAAAAGGAAAAAGCACCTCTCGCCCCTGGTCAGCGTAAACCAAGGCCTCTTTATGAAGTGCCATATCTGTTTGAAGCAAGAGAATTTCTACGGAAGAAGCTCATTGGCAAGAGAGTAAACATTGTTGAAGATTACATCCAACCACCTCATCAAACCTTTGGTGAAAAGGTTTGCTGCACGGTCACCATTGGAGGAGTGTAAGTCTTAAGATTTCTCTCGTTTTCAACATTAAACACCATTGTTATTGGCTTAAAAGACAAGGGAGTTATGGCCGGGCTCAAGTATAGGAAACAAAATTGCATTTCCCTTCATAATGACCCATTTATAATTTCAAGGTATGAACTGAATAGGGCTTACAGCCACTTGATAATGTTATATTGTAGGCTGTCCTATGTCACTAGGTTTGCCATTTCAAGGGAAAAGCATCCTGAAAATTAATGTCCCTTCAACTTCTGGCTTATGGAAATTTGCAAAGTAAAAATGGTTTGGGTTGAGGGCGAAAAGTCCTGTCTTATATACCAGTAATAATATGGTTGAATATTTTAATAGTAATTAATTTAAGTACCTTTCAGTTTGAGTTATTCTATTGTTTTTCTCAGGAATGTGGCGGAGGCTCTGGTCAGCAAGGGTCTTGCCACAGTCCTCCGGTATCGGCAGGATGATGATCAGCGCTCATCACACTATGACAATCTTTTGGCTGCTGAGACCAAAGCTTCTAAGTCAGGTCATGGTCTGCACTCGAAAAAGGAAGCTCCAGCTCATCGTGTGGTTGATGTTTCTGGGGATTTGGTTAAAGCGAAGCAGTTCCTCCCATTCCTTCAAAGATCTGGGCGTATCGAAGCTGTTGCTGAGTTTGTTACAAGCCGATCAAGGCTGCGACTGTATATCCCTAAAGATTCAAGATTGATCACATTGCTTCTTGCTGGTATTACTTTCAACAAAACAAGACAAGGACAATCTCAGTATAATGAAGGAGAGCCTTTTACTGACGAGGAAGCAACCAACTTCACTCGTGAACGTTGCATGCAGCGTGAAGTTCAAATTACGGTGGAGGCAATGGATCGTGTTGGAAATTACATCGGCTGGCTCTGGGTAGACAATGTTAACTTGTCTGTTGCATTGGCTGAAGAAGGCTATGCTAAAGTTCATGGATCTGCTGAAAAGTCTGATCACTACAGAGCTCTGAAGAATGCCGAAGATTCTGCTAAAGCAAGGCGCATCGGAGTGCGTATTTGAAGTCCTTAAACTGCAGTTTTGGTTGACATAATACTTTGAATTTTCCTCAACATTGATCTGTTTTTTGTTTCTTAGGTTTGGAAGAATTACAAGGAGGAAGATGAGCAAGAAGTAGAAAAGAAGAGGGATGATGAGAGGAATGTGGAACGTTCTGTGAATCAAACTAGAGTGGTTGTTACAGAAACCACTCCAGAGCTTCACTTCTATGCTCAGGCTGTCGATCAAGGACCTAAACTTGAGGGCTTGATGGCCAAGATTCGTCAAGAGTTTACCGCAAATCCTCCCCTACCAGGAGCCTACCAACCGAAGAAAGGTAATTTATTTAATTCTAACCAATTTCCTTGGTAATTCAGTGACTTCCAATAATAAATTGTTTTTGATTTCTTTCAGGTGATACATGTGCTGCCAAGTTTGTTGATGATGAATGGTACAGGGCTAAGGTAGAAAAGGTGGACAAAGGTGGAAACGTCAGTGTCCTTTACATGGACTATGGCAATCGTGAAACTCTGTCAGCCACTCGCTGTGCTCAGCTTCCTTCAGCTTTCCTTTCTGAAAAGCCCTATGCGACAGAGTATCAGCTGTTTGGTGTTTCGCTGCCACCAGATGTATGTTGAACTCATAGATCCATATTGATGTGTTTGTTCAAAACTCGTAAATCTTACAAAACTGCTTTGATTCGTAGGCGGATTACTCTGAAGAAGCTATCAGTACATTCAGGTCAGACGTTCTTGATCGTACACTTCTTCTCAATGTGGAAGTTAATGGATCTCTTCCCCTTGCAACTCTTGAGGACCCTACAACCAAAGTGGATATTGGAAAAGCTTTGATTGAAGACGGTCTTCTGCTGGCTGAGAAGAGGAGAGAACGTCGTCTGACCAAGCTGGTACGTATGAGCATGTCTTTTTCAATGTAGGGAACAACCTTACAGTGACTTTTTGAAATGTTAAAGCACATGGTTTTTGATTTACAGTTGAATGATTACAAAAATGCTCAAAGTGAAGCTGCCAAAAACCACCTTAAAATCTGGGAGTATGGTGACATCACTGAAGATGATGCAAAGGAATTTGGATTAGGACCGTAATCTGGTCACTAATGTGTTGACGGTGTTAGTTAAGTGGTGCCTCATGGAATGCTAGGATTGTTAATGACTTGTGGCAGTTAAATTTGGTGTGAAGGAAGTTGTGGAAAAAATTAAACCAGCCAATCCGTCTAAAAAATTAACCTCTTATGCCTGTGCCACACGCACCATTCTCAAATGTTCTTGCTGGTTATTTTAAAAATAAGTAGGACATTCTTGTTTTTCCACATCTTGATACACTTTCGCCCTTCATATTATGACTACCTATGCTTCCATAGCTGAGATAAGCAGATTCATTCCTACTGTGTGGCCTCTCTTCAATTTGGAGTTGTGCAAAGTAATTGATTGTGAAATTTATTACTGGAATTATTGTTTTCTCATACCACTTCCAGCAAATTTCTGGCACCTGGTGTTTCTTTGTGCGGGTTTTGGGGATAAACAGAGTTTATTCCTTGTCTAAATTAAATGAACTATCATTTCCATATTACAAGAAATGAAATAAAATAGCAAAGGTGTTGAATTTTCTCAGCTTGTATTGTTGACATGAAAGATCAGACTACAGATTGATTTTCCATGACAGGATTTATATTGTTGTCTTTCTAGGCTAGAACGGTTCAGTTCTAGTGTGTTTTGTTTGTGTTCAATATTATTAAAATATTGTTATGTTTTCCTTAGAAGTTGCAGTCTGATACGTCTGATATGTCCAAGAGTTAAAAATTAAGGATGTACAGTTTGAATGGTAAGAAGTTAACTATGAATTAGGTAAACAATTACCGTAATCATATCTCCAATATGTTTGTTCCCTGTTTGTTATTTCTTTGCTTGTTTTATTACTTACCTGGAATCTAGTGCAATGGAGTATATCGAAGAAGAAACAGCAGCAGGTTGTGCTTGTTTACCACCACTGCTGGAAAGTGGATTTTCATCTGGCATCATATTTGTCATTTAAATTGTGGTTATTGTGATTTTAACAAAACATATTTACCTTAATATGTATGTGTATGTATATATATATGAGTATATATAAATATACATAAATGTTTCTAGAAATGCTTTACTGTGTACATGCGCCCTAACTGCCCTGGAGCTGATCTCATGTATTGAGGGCAAACCCTGTCTTACCCGTCTACTGGTTGTCACAAATGTTGTATTGTTAAGTGACCACACCAACTTCTTTTATTTAAATCCATTACATAACAATTTTATTACATGCCTTTTGTTTTAGGACTTACTGGAGCACTTCCTCTGAATCAATTGCAATACAGTAATTTTTAACCACCCTGTACTGAATGAACCTGTATGACCTTTATAGTGATGTAATCATTGTGAAAATTTATATTTAAATTATATCAAATGCTGTATATTTTATGAATGGTTGTCAGGGACTTACTTATGTATCACAATTGAGACTGATTAATGTGCGACTTTTCTGCGTTGTCTTGAATATGATGCTTATTAAAGCACATTTATGAATTTTACATGAATTGTGAGGCATGATGAATGAACTGTGCATGGGAAACTAAAATGACTTCGTGTCTTATTTCTCTTTTTTACGTATTTCTTTGGTGGAAGTGGGGGCTGTGTTATGACAGTATACCAATAAAATTGTTGAAATTTGCACTCATTAGTTTATTTACTAACTTATCATCCTTTCCTTGAATTGAGTGTAGATGGAGCAGGTATCAAATAATTAAGGCAGTTACTCAATACTGAATGTATTACTTGGCACACAGAATAATCACAAGCACTGCACCGTACTAAGTCACAAGAATGGTTCAAAATTTTAAAAGATATGTCACTATCACGAATCAACCAGAAAGTGATGCAACAACTGTTGACCTGACCTTTTCCTGACAACTGGGATAGAAGCCAAATGCTTTCAAACTGACAAATCTAGACATCTCTTAACTGTACATTTGTGCTTTTCTCAGCTGAAGTGTTTTTAATTAACAATAAAACCTAATGACCTGCAGTCCATTTATCACATTAGCATAACAAGATATAAATAATTTTAACATGTCTAATAAATAGATTTCTATAGGCAGCAATCAATAGTTCTCAAATCTAAAACTCTAAAACAGTTCACAGTAATACAAGAAATGATGTATTAAGAAGTTGAAGGTCATGAATTTGTTAGGAGACCAAAACTTTAAGAAGCCCTTTGAGTTGGAAAATTTGCTAAATTTTGCTAAAAAACAGAATTTTATAGTACTGAGCACATAGTTGGCATCGGTCAGGGACATGGCACCACAAGAACAGGAAGCTTGTTGAGGTTTCGGAATACAATTTGAATCGGTCCTGAACGAAAAGGCCTCCACTATGGCGTCCCCAGTCAAACATTTAGAAAAATATAATATTAAAATTAAGATGGCACGCACACACATTTCAAACAGGAATAAATTAATGGTCAACCAAAGTACCCCAAAGGGATGTGGAGTTCTTTCAACATGGTTTAGTATGGCTTGCAGCAATGAAAGAATGCACTGTTATTAAGAGCTTACTGTACAACTAAAGACATTAAAATCAACATGAATAAATCTTTTCAATTTACATCACAAACAACATGAGCTAGCTTTAAATACAAATTGTAACACAGTAGAATATTAATAAAATAAGTAACAATGTCTTGTACAAAAGATCATTTCTTAATATGATCCCTTACTTGTATAACATGAAACTACACAAATATGCAATGATAAATCTTTTGACCATTAACAGATAAGTTAATTCAGGTGTACTATGATAAAAAGCTTACTTTATGTCAGGCCTTCTTTCAAGATTAAATCATTAATTACAACTGGTACTGGTTGCAATTTTTACCACATTAGTTTATGAAACCCATGTTCACAGTCTGTAAATACTACAAATTGGTACGTTGGAATTATCTACCAAGAGTAGTCATGTTACACTTAGTTTTGATTTAGCTTCTGAGAAGCACAAATAAATAGATATATGACAACAACAAAATTAAAAGATTGTCCATATGTGTATCAGGTCTCTCCAGATCCATACGTCCCAGCTGGTGGTCGATATTGTTTAGGAAGTGAGCTAACTCCCAATTGACTGAAGGCATACTTACGAATTCCTATGTTCTTGTAGGTGTTCTCTCTTCGACATCCTTCACTAAAAACATATGGAAACAATCAATGAAATCATTTTAATTTACTTACAAAACATATCTTGACTTTACATACCTCCTCATACAATCAAGAGCTCTTTGAACTTCAGTTTCAGCCAAGTCATAACCATGAGTTAAAGTGTTAACTTGTTCTAATGTCACTGACATTCCAGTTCGATCCTTTGCACTCTTACAACTTGTAAACCGCAAGCCTTGATGTCAGAAAGTTGGATAAATATAAAATTTAGTACAACAAAATATAAGCACAATGCATTGTGAGTAAAATCTCATGAATACATACCCTGCATGGCAACTGTTATTCGAGAGGCTAGTTGAAGAACCTCGACATTTTTGCTCACTTTACTGTGAACAGCGGTGTGGAGTTTATCAAACAGCATCATCAGAGCTCGTTGACTAAGTCCAACTGTAATGAATAAACAAATTACATGCTGAAGACTTTATGTTCGAAACAGTTTTGAACATAATGAGTACTCACTACTTCTTCTTGGAGATTGTGTCTGGTTGTCAGACAACTGCTTCAATTTACGATATCTCAAAAAGTAGGCATGAAGGCGGCTATAGTTGTCCAAGTTGGACTGATGCTGAGGAGCAGTTTGTCCTAAACTCTCAGCAAAAGTAGCTCGCTCATTAATGCCGATATTAAAAAATACCGGCGTGACTTTGAAAGACACAGGAGCACGAGATGACTGCTGCTGGGCATATTGAGGGGTTCCAAGAAGAGGCAATTGTGAGAGAACTACATCTGGCACAGGTAATAACACAGTTAAAGCAGCTCTTGAACCCATAACTCGCGGTAAGGGAGTTGAAGTTGGGCCAATCCTGTAATCAGACATCATACACAACTATCAGTAAGACCCAAAACTAAAAACAGATTCATATTGGAATGCCAATATATCAGGTGATTCAGCTTTAGTATGCTTGCTGTTGTGCCAAACATGCTTCATTCCTCTTCCTCTCTGTCGCCGCCTCAGGCCAGAAAGGAGCAGTGCTTGTGCTTGCTTGGTGGGACTGTAAGCTTACAAAATTGCAAAGCTGAATCGATGATCCGCTATTAGAATGATACAGATTGTATAGCTACCTGTCAGATGAATTAGGACCCCTGTTTTTGCGAGAGTTGGATGATGATGACAATGATGATGGTGATGTGGATGATGAATGAACAAGAGTAAATGTCACTGTGCTCAAATCTTCAACAGCAACAACCATATCACCCCACATGTCGAGTTCATGACCATGTAAAGAGAGTAAACCTTCAAATGCAGCTATTGGCCCAAAAGTTGCCAAAACCAACAAGAAAGAAGGATCAGGTCTTTGACACCATAACTTTGCCATTAATGCAGACACCAAAGCAGTCAGCTGTAAATTAAATAATAGGTATAAGAAGAAATAATTAATTTTGGTTAAGTCGAGCACTAACAAAGTAGTTTACTGACTGCCTGGGAAAAGCAAACATCCCTCCTGTATCGAACATTGCATTCTTTTTGAGCAGCACGAGGGTCCTGCCTTGTCCGAAAAGCTGAGTGCATTAGTCTTGCTGTTTTTAGTAACCCATCCATGGCAGCTCTTAATTTCCTCATAGATGGTCTTAATTCAGAAACCCAGTCCGACATGGTCCCAAGGTCCAGACCTTCAGTAAACTTGTTGCGTACTTTTGGTACATTAGTACATTCACCTGTGTGTTCCCTAAAGAAAAAGAAAGTTTTTATTTGTTTTTTGCTTTCACATAAACAGGAGGTTTAAAAAAATAACTTACATGTTTTTATTTTCTTGGGCTTGTTTATAATGACTGGAATTCTGACCTGTTTCAAATAGAAAATGTGATAAAAAGTGATGAAAACTTCGAGTTAAAGGGAGAAGTAAACCTAGTCAACACACACCATAAGATTTACCTCTCAGACTTTGGGACCGAGCAACTACTCCAGATGATCGTAACCTTACTGCAGGGGAACTGCACCGCCCACAAAGAAATTTTACCTTGCTTACAAGACACATAACACTCGCTTCAATATTTAACTGTGTCAGGTCCCATGGCTCCGGTTCCTCAGTGGGCTTGTAATAATTTGCAGATGGTGATGAGCACATAGCTCTTGTATCCAAAAACCACCGCCTGCTGGTTGGGCAATCTGCACTACCAGCTAGGCCATCCCCAACACTTTCAAGACAATCAGCACTTCCATCCACATATTCTCCTCCTAATTTACTCTCCAGTTGGTCAAATGCCTCATCTGTCTCTCTTGAGAGTAGATCTTCAGCACTTTCAACTCTTTTTTGAGAAGATTTCTTGTTTAGGTCTCGGCCTACATCAATGTCAGCCTCTTTTTGTTGTTCAGTATCATCCTCAGCATCTGGGAAAGCTACAAATTGGTTTTCACTGACAACATCTGAGCCTCCATTATTCTTCAGAGAGGAGTGAGATAAGTCCCAGAAGTTACGGGTGCAGCGGGGAGAATCAGGAGTAGCCAGTACATCAACATCAGGTGACCTGAAATTAAGAAGTGAATAGAAGAAGGGAAAACACCTATAAATAAAATATGAACAAGAAGCATAATTCAGGGCACAAACTTGAGCTCAAAGTGAAGTTGTTGGGTAATGCGTCGGAAGGGAGACAGTTGCATGGACCTTGTCATGCTAAGGCTCATTTGACCACTTTCTGCACAGCCGTTATCATGAGATCCACTATCTTCCAAAGAGTCATCATCTTCTAGTGGGCCAGGTGGGGCATTCACTTTATATTCATCAACAAAAGCTAAAGCTTCTTCAACTAATCCAGAATCCCACAGACTTAAAAGAGCACGGGTCTATGCACAGAAAAAAGTTGTATAGCCAAAACATATTAGAACCACACATGTGAAGAAGAAGTTCAAGTTCAAAAACAAATTTACCTTTGTAATCATGTCCTCACATATAGGCAGCATGCCAACCGTTTGCTTCATGGCTGCCAATCTAACAAGTCCCCTCATACCTTCAACAACTTCTCTTCTTAATTGTTTAATGGCCTGTGTAAACCCCAAATTCAGTAATATCATAAATTAAATACATAGCAACTGACTAACCTTGCACAACATTTTACCTGAATAGCATCTCGAGCCATGTTCATTTTGCTGGTTCCTTGGCATCCACCTTTTGCTGGTGATTCTTTCAGCTGCTGGACAAGCCTGTGCATCAGAAAAAGTTCATCATATTTATGAAACATCAAGACTGACATTTGATAAAAAAGAAAACAATTAAGAAATCAGAAAAAATTTCAACAGAAAAAGGAAACAGCGTACTTTAAGAGTCCTCCATTTTTAGATCGATGTGAGTGAGCAGTGAAAGCTCCAACAGTAACAATATCATACAGTCCTGCTTTACCCAAAGTATCGCTCTGAGCCCACATTCTATGCAAATTCAAATTGATAGGGGCAAATTCAAGTGATCTATCTTGCTTACGAGAAGATGGTTTCAAAAATCCTCCTTTATGAAAAAGGAAAAATTAATACATTATTCAATTTTTCCATAAGCTGACACATAAAATACAAAGTAATGAAAGGGTAAATACCTTTATGAGCTAATAAATGCTCTTGTGCCTGACTGTAGAGATGCAGAAGCTGAAGGTGCCTGTCAAGTAGTTGAAGTTGACGTGAGTGCCAAGGCTCTCTCAATTCTCCCATTCCAGCAACTTCCTGTAATAACTCTTTTTCTTCTTGAATCCAAAGAGCCCTGAAATGAGGAAAGTAAATTGTTATACCTTTTAAGGCACTAAGAATGATAATAAGGGAGGAAACAGTTTAGTATGAACAACAACTCACAATAATTGACAGGGAAAAGCAAAGCATAATTTGCTTTCTGCAATAAGTTCTGACACAAAAATGTCACCACACAGCCCAGAATGAAAACGGTATGATTGAATGAAAGGATTTGCAAACAACTGGTTAATATGAACATGAGGTGGTAGCTTTAACCGGCACCCCAGCCTTGGAGGTAATGAATGAGATCTCCGATGCATTAAAGCCTGAAAGCAAATAAAATGGACCAATCAATTTTAAATGAAGAAGTTTGACTTAATACATAGGTACATATCTATACTTACTGGGCCTCGAACCTGAGGTTGTCGACAAGGTGTGGATTCACTTGAGCCGCCTACATGGTCATCTCTTTCCAGACGGTATCCGCTCATACTAACAAAACCAACAGTGGTGCCAGCTAGAGAGCGCAGGGCTACTCGTAATTTTCCTACTTCAGCTCCTATACTGGAGTTGCTCCCAATCAAAGAGCGCAACGAAATTAAAGCACACCCTAAAGGCAGAGCTGTGTGAGATACTGATTCTCGAACATCATAAGCTGTGACACGAACTCTTGTTTCATTATCCAGAGCATCAGAGGCTCGGAAAGTTACAGTAACAAGAAAACTGGGATTGCTGCTCCGCTGCCAAAAAAAATTAAATAATAGAAACAAACTTTCTTTTTTTGAGCACAAAACTTTTAACAGTCTAAAATTTAAACAAATTACACACCTCAACAACTTCTGTTCTAGCATATCTCACCCAAGCTCGATCTGATGGAACATAGACATGAACTAGAAGAACAGCATTTGGTGGCCTTCCGTTAGCGTCACATAATAAGTTATCACAAGCAAGTGACACTTCACAAAGAGGTAGTTCACATGGGTCTGTAAATCCAAAACGATAGAAACAGTTAAGAACTCCACAAGCAAAGGGATATACAGTTTTGAAAAATTCTAAAACACATCGTAAATTTGTAAAAATGCATACGGACCCAATATAACACCACACCTCAATCTCCACATAGCAACATCTAAATCAGGGTTATGATCTCTTCGAGTTTCAAGCAGTTTTTGAAGTCTTATAAAATTTGCACGAACATTGCGATAACTTGCAGCTTCAACAGCCTTGAGCCATGAAGCCCGTTCTCCATCCGTTCGGGCTGCCAAGTGTTGCCTCAGGCCACCATCCCAAACTGAAAGAAATAGAAAGATTGACAGTGAAATACTGATTGGTAATAAATACGAAATAGCATTCGAACTTACCTAGACTGAAACCAAATGGACCATCTGGAGGAGTAGATGAAGGACTATCTATGTGTACAACACACTGCTCAAGCACAAGCACTCCCAATGGCTCTGACCACTGATCACATGTTTTGAAATAAAACAAGAGGTTTCCTCGAAGTCGACACCAGCGTTCTAGACTGACTGAAAAACAAAATTTAACAGTAGAATAGTGTCAAATGTGACTTGTACAAATATATTATATGTGCTAAGCAATAACAAAATAAGTAAAAAATTTTCAATTAGATATGTTCAGAACAAACAACTCAATGAGCTATGCCACAATACACAGCAATGTAGACATCACAGGCAACAAAGATGGAGAAATAATAAGCAAACCCAGAAACGCTACATGCTACATGCAATGCTCATACAGTTTACAACTAAATGTGAATTAATAAATATTATTACTTGCTTACCGACAACCACATACTATCACCAACACCAAAATACTTTTGTATATTGCATGAGTATAAATTATTTAAGGTGCATTAAGAAAAAGGGGAAAAAATGAAAACACTAAAGATCTTTACTCTTTCCATGGCAGCCATCTGAAAACTTCCAGTTTGTTTTTTGGGGACAGGGAAAAGGTGCAAGGGGGGAAGAGGGGCTGGAAAATTTAACAAATTAGTACAAGCACAACAGGATGCCTTACAAACTCTTCAAGAGGACAGTCTAAAATAAGAACAGTTTTCTCTTTTTACTATTATTGTAATTGTTAAATAACAAGAGCAAGGAACACAAATGAAATTACTTTTAAATTTCTAATGAAGCAGCAGAATGTAAAACATCCTAATAAGTTGTTAGTAATTGCCAAAGCCAAGATTTCTTGTCTTTACCACTTTCATTTTACTTTTACTAAATTAAACTGAAAAGATAAGCTTTTTATGCGTTTGAATTCTCGTCCCTATTCATATTAGTGGGGAAAAAGAAAAACACAACACAAATTCATTCCCCGGATAACAGTGAACAAAATTTTGCCTGAATTAAATTGTTACCAGCCAAAGACAAAACACAGAACTCAAAACTGGAGTGTCGGCGACACAAATTTAACAAACAACCAGAATGAATTCAATGACTTCAGTGCTGTAAATTGCTGTATGAAGCTTGAACTACAACAAACACCCAAGGATGATGAGCAATTGGTGTTAACTCATATGTGGTCTGATGAATACAACCAATGACTTTGTGTGTACAGTGTGTACGAACAATGAAATGTGAATCAAAACTAACTCTGAGATTGGTGGATGTGCGTCAGGGCACAAAAACAGAGATTAATATACCTTTATACTTGGCACCTTTGCTGCTCTTGCTGCTGCCACTGCTGCTGTTCCCATAGCAACTAAGATCTCGTAGGCTCTTAGCCCTTTTCACTCTTTTGCAGTCTTTCTCTGCTCCTGAAAATTATCAGTTAGAAGCAGCGACACAAAACAAGATGGCGCCATCACCGAGTTAACAATATTTGTGAAAGCTTTGGTAGGTATTTCCAATCCATATTAGTCAAGATCAAAGGTGAACAGAGCACCACTTTTTCTTAGACCTTTTCGATAAATTATAAATCATACAGCCCCAATGCAAAAACATAAGGTGCGTATCTTTCAAAGCGCATGGGACAAACCCATGAAGAGACACAATTTAGAAATTGTCCTTCTCCATGACAATCCCCTTTAGATAAACACGGAAGAGAAGATTTTTCCCCATTCAAAATTTACAAATCACCAAAAGAGTTGAGATGTTAAAGCAAAACCTGTTTTTGCACAAAATCAAATTTATGGGAACTTTACCAGTATATTTATAATGTCATTAAATATGTCTGATCAGTATCTTATCTTAAACCACACAAGATGCTAAGATTGACCACACCACCACTGTACATTCATTTCCAGCATCAAGCTAGTGTTAGAGCATCATTAATTAGTTTTGATGCTGTCACAATAAGGAGTATAGAGTAAATAATTCAAAAATTGATGTTACCTATCAAGTAAGGCAAAATTAAGTCAAAATTCTATAGGAATCTAAACACAATCCTGCACAATGCGATAATATAAAACTACTAAGCAACAATAAAATCGTACATAAATCGGAGTATGGGGGGGAAAGATATCTAACATAAACAGCTAACGAGATAGCACTACTACTAGATCTAAGTAACGCATGATGCATATTAACAAACACATTTACAACAATGTATATTTGGCTTTAAAAAATATGCAGGTATTTTCAAATGAACCAAATAAAGTAAAAAGATTAGGAGCACATTATAGAATAATGAAAGAAAATTTAGGTCATTTATCTATACTCACTTTCTGCTCGTCTGAAAAAGCCATCCTGACGTTCACGCAATAACAATACTCCTTCCTTGTCAAACTTATGAGCTGGCTGGGTTGCTAAAGTCACCAGCTCCTGCTTGTTGAACCGCATTCCTGATGAAGTTTAATGACCGATCTCATAAAAGCCCTGAAACGAATAGAAAACAGAATGTTAACATCACAAATGATTTTTTATGATATTCTGGTGTGACAGAGACTAGTACAAAATGTATCGGCAATCAATGAAATAAACCAATGTAACGTAAGGACGGGTTCAAAAAGATTGCATATAGCATTCAATATTGGCTAAACCTAAACTATTGAAAGCTAAGACTAAACCTAAATTGGAACAAAATTAAACAGGAGAAAAAAATTGAAGTGCAAAAAAAAAATTTAACTATGAATATGTGCACTTGATGAAATCTGCCCACACAAGACTTGTCCCTCTGATGCCCTTACGTCTGTTCCTACACTGAATGCCATGAGGTTAGGGAGACCTACTAGCATGGATAATACACGACCAGAATCCATTGAAAACATCAGAGACCATTTTACATGAATTCATATTCATAAATGACTGAGTAGAGAAGCAAAGTATCGTGTGTACTGGCCACACTTAGCCTTCTTGCCTCCACTGAACCGAGTGGCGGAGGCGGAGAAAATAATAACGCTGGCCCAGAATGAATGGCTCCTTCTTACCATCGAAAGATAGGAAGGAGACATAATCCCCCATCATCAAAGCACGCGCAATATATTACAAGGGTCACTATTGCGGCAAAGTTTAAGTTCGGAACAGTTCTGAACGTCAACAAAAACAACAACATCAATCGTGGAGGCTCGAGGGGGGTGGGGAGAGAAATGTCAAACTCCCGTTCTCCCACAAGCAGACGACAGAGCCGGAAACGGAACTTGCGTTTCCAAGTCCATTCCCTCCACGACCCCGGCAACATTCAACTTATGGTTGTTAACTCTCGTTCCTTAACGCTTGTACGGAATCTCAAAGGTGGATTTTGTTCTGCGAAACAAAATTCGGTCGTTGTCCCTCCAGTTTGATGGTGTAAAATATGTCCATTGATGCCCACACCGGCCACACGCACAGTTAAATTTTCAAGGTCGTCTCGTCATCCAGCGCACCAGTGCAGCGACCAGACCAGCGGCCCATGGCCTCGGCCGCCTCGGGCCCCTCGGCAGGCACAGGCAGGGGGCGTTTGGCATCCATATCCAGCTCCAGTTCCAGTTCCCCTACAGGCACAAGCTATAGCTGACCGTGTGCTCTAATATCATGTACGTAGTGCGACGCACGACACGGCTATCGCTCTGATGTTCAGCCGTTTGGAGGGAGAAAACTCCCCATGGCTACTTCCTTTTAAAACAGACTACCTGTTGCATCTAGAAATGGTTGATTCCAATAGGTTATTCAAGAAACCAAAAGTTTGTGCGTTTTGAAAAGAATTGTCTTAAGACTTCAAAAGAGGCGTTCTCAATTTTTTTTTCCAATTTATTGCCCACAAACAACTTTTTTTGGAAAAGGCAACCAATGACTGTATTAATTCTATAGTTCCAAACTCAATCTAGTATTTTTTTTCCTGTTCCAGGACCAATTTAAGTGTGACAGCATCTGCCTTGCCGTCCCTCTTGACAGGTGGAATGGAGACTGTTGTCATGGTAGCTATTGGAGTTCTCGCTGCTGTATTTGTAGGTGCCCTCATAGTTCTTGTCATCCTATGCTGGCAGAAATTAAGCCGAAATGGTGTGTGTGGGATTAAACGAAGTAAATGCAGTGGCTGCGACGCAAGGTGTAATACCAGCTTATTAGCGATATTATCTTCTTAACTACTACTAGCACATCACCTTACATTGGTTTTCAATTTCAGGCCGGATATTCATTTGATTGAACCAGATGCAGAGCTTGAGCTCGGTGACGTGTGTTTGCATCCTGATATAAAAGAAATTTTGGCGGATGAACAGTGGATTGATGATGCCACGGGATTGGTTCCGCACACTTTGGCTGTTTTGCGTGCTTGCCACAAATTGACTGAACGATTGGCAGCTCTAGCAATGGGCCCTCTGACTAATCACAAAACAGGATCCCAAATAATGAATGTAACTATTTAAATATACACTATTTCTCACATGACACTCAGTTTGAAAAATCAAATGTATGCTATGTGTTAGACTATCACAAATGAATCATTTGTTTGTGTTTAGGTAGCACGACGAATTTCTCCAAGAGTTGATGATGTTGTAAGATCAATGTATCCCCCACTTGATCCAAGGCTTTTAGAAGCCCGAACAGCTGCTTTGGTATTGGCTGTCACCAACCTGTCTTTGGTAACCAGACATGGGTGCTCTCCTGGACGCTCCCAGCGCCTTGATTGGATTGATCAAGCACTTCTGTCAATGGACTCCCACTTGAAGGTAAGTGATGTCGGAAAAATTTAATTCATAGGGAATATAATTATCTGCTGCTCCATATATACATGGGCCCTTAAATTTGGTATATTTCTGAAGGTTCTTCGAGATGCTGCAATATCCCAAGAAATGAGCTGTCGTATACAACAGAACTCATCCAACCTGAGCACTGTTCAAGGCTAGAATATCAAAAAGTGTCTGATGAGTGCCCAACAAGGAAAAGAAGTGTCTTCACTGATATTTTACAGTATTTATTCATAACCAAAGTTGATATGGGTTACAAGCTTTTGGTCATAAAAGCACAGCATACAGAATGATCTCACAAAATTTAAGAATTCTCTTTCCTTTTTTATCTTCATCATTCATCCACTTGATACAAACAATGAGATCACAGACAATGCATCTTCCTTAAAATACACTTAAAATAATAGATATTGATTAATTAATGTCTTACAGAATATGAGGACTGAACTACGCTCTTTGTGGTAGCCAAACAATCTTGAAAGGCATTCAAGTTTTCTTCAAACTAGCAATGTGGGAGTTGAGCTAGAAGCACAGTAAATATGTACTTAATTATTTACACACACACTTGCAATTGTTTACTCAGCAACAGTGAAACAGAGCATTTTGCCTCCCCTAATGTGGTTCTCCAGTTTTCTCTCAAACAAAAAGCAGAAACAATACAACTAATATCTATGAACCTACGTATCTGAAATGTATGAGCAGGTTGTTACCTTTCCATTAATTACAATGCTGTCATACAACAACACTGACAACGTGGTTGTTGGTCCAGAGGTCATACAAATAAAAACAAGCAGTAATTTAACATGGCTTAGATTACATATTGCCTCATAAGATTTCATTTTAATTAGGGTGGTTCTGCTGCTACAAAAATATTATGCTTTTATGTGCCAGTTTAAAATATTGAGGGGCTTATATAGCCTGATGAACTTAATGCAATGAAAAATGAAAAGAAAACACCACAGGTACTGTCTTTTCAGACAAGATAACTTAGTAAAAATGATATTCGGAAAAATTTTTCAAACCACCTCAATATGACAAATTGACTAGAAAAAAACAAACTAAAAGATATGGAATTCATTCCTAGTAAACTATCAAGGTTTGAACCCAATATAATAATCCTCATTCCTTGGGTAGTTTTCAGTCAATCCTTCCAGTTCCAGGTATACATTAAGTAATAAAAAATAAAATGGCCAAGTACTACTGCATGGATAGTAAAACAGAGCGATAAATGCAATGACAACAATAAATTAATACAGCCGGCTAAAATCTTTTAAGACTATGTCGAAATAGAAGTTGTTTAAGTCAAAAGTCAATATATTGCTGTTTTTAAAACAATAAAATCTAGAACATGCCTGTTAGTAGACAGGCAAGATATGTACTGAAAAGGAACTTACTCCAAGACACAAATATATCTTACAACAGAACATGCCAATCTCTCATCAATAGTCACAATACTGATTTCATCACCTCACGTTGAACTATATTTGGTATCGTATGACCACTTGTCTGCTTGATTTTATTCTCACCCCTTATACAACAAAATGCGACTTACAGTTCCATTCTTTCAAAACATCAAAGAGGCAGTGGAAACATTTAAGGGTGAACTTGAGTGCAGACTCTGTTGTCAAGTTGACAATTTAAAGCTTTTAATTTAATGATTTCAGAAGTGGGTAACTGTGGTGCTAATAATCTTTCTGCACAAAAGCACAAACCTCTTAACAAGCAACTGCCTCCGATATTGGGTTTTCTGTGATATGAATGGATGCATTGGACCAATGAGCATGAGAGAGCAAATCTGAGTCATCCAATGAGGCAGAACGGGTGAAGTCGAATAGGCGAGCAGTGGGAACCTTGATCATACCTGAAAAGTAAAAGTTTTTGTTCAGTGACAATATTTGAAAACAACTGAGGAAAAAAAAGTAAATAAATGAGTGACTCTATTGTGCTGAAAGCTCAAAGACAGTTGTGAACTTCATCAATCATATTCAAGATATAAATGTGCAATTGCATCATGCATATTTTGGCAGTAAAGGAAAGGCTTTCCAAATGAAAGGGACTACAGAAAATATGCAAAACTGAATGTGTAGAAAATAGTACTAAATCAATGAGATTGTACTAGTATACACTCAGCTGCAGTGAAAAGGCAGCTGCAGAGCAGTAAAACTGTGCTATCAAAAAAACTTTTAAAAAGTCATTTAAATTGTGGAAATGGAAACAGAGCTTTGAGGATGGATTAGGATATTTTGTTCAATGGTATTTGGTCTACAAGAGGGGCAGGTAAAACACAAGTAGCACAATGAATTTTGGACAAAAATCCCAGCAATGGAGCAAAGCACACAAAGATGAAGAACAAAGAAAATGAAAATTAAAAAAAATCAGTTTGGAAGAATGGTTTTGTTATTGAGAATCATTCTTCATAATATAAAACAAGGCAAACAAACACTTACATGTGGTACTAGGCCAAGCGTGGGGAGCATGGAGCGCCTACATGTGCTAATTGCCGCACTAGTTACCTTTACCTTCAGCTGACAAAGAGGATGAAAGCTTGCGGGACAGTTTCACAGCTGCAGTCAAAAAAGAAAACAACCTATGTGAGGTATGGTATTGACGATAAGATGGAAACAGAAACACAAGGTTTGGTTTTCCAACTAAATCTGAATTAGCACAACTAAATTGGTCTCGAAATTTCATATGATTTGAAATCTAGTTCCATCTGTGAAGTAATGATACTAGCAGCATAACATTAGTTACTTTTTTGTTTTCTACAAAAGACAATACACTTTTGCATAAGCTTTTTTTTTTTCTTTCCCAGATTTTGCAATTTTCCAATAAGCTCCAGATTCTACCTTCTTTCCTTCATAATTAAACTAAACCTTGGCTTTTTATGTATAATGACTATAAATGTTACAAGATGTGAGCTCCAATCCTGAACAACAAAGTGCTGAACCTAATAGGAACAAAACAAATAGCAATTAGACTGATACCTTCCTTCAACAATGCAACCCAAATACCATGCAAATCGCAAGAGCAGGATAGAGGAAAGAAGATTATAGATAAGGAAATACCCCAAACATCCCGGACTTTGCAACAAAACCAGGGTGCAACGGAAAGTTCCTCTCAAGTGATTTAGAAAAGCAAAAACCATGCCAAAATACCACTCAATTCCGAAGGCAGACAAGAAAATTACCCACAGACACATAAAAACGACTGTGCTGAGACTACACTTAGCAAATTTTTAAAATTAGAATAAAAATTACTTCTCAGTGGTTTAATACAAACCAGACACTCTGATTTCTTTAAAAAGTGCTTTTGGCCCACAACTTTGTCTCGAAAGAGAAGTTCATCACCAATTCCCTTCTTTTATGTGAAGAAAACATAGCCTCTATTAGTAAATCTAGACAGGCAGCTGCTGCTAACCAATTTTCCTTTAAGTTTACGTTTGTCCGGGAATGCAGCAAAGTATGTGCAAATTGTTTGGTGGCACGTACAGCTTGTTCTACTGAAAAGGCAGTTTCTACATACATACCGCTCGGTTTTCTCCAGTGTGACACAGTGAAACACAAATCGGAACATAGAGCAAATCAATCAGATCAAAGCCATGTAGTGGTTCACGTTTATGGAATAGTAAACACATAAAAAGTAAAAAATAATATGAACTGTATGAATCCCCTGAGATTTTGAATGATGTGCGAACTGAAATAAAATTAGTGTATGTATGGTCCAGTTATTACCAGTTACAAATGGCACAGTGAAATTAGCCCTACACCAAAACCAAGGAAGAGAGCAGTGTTAATGGTAATGAAAAAAAAAAAACAGCTGTTAGTCAGAAATTTGATTTTCTTTTTTAAGTGATGAAAGCATAAGGTGGGAGGAAAACAACACATAGAAAAGTTCAGTCAAATCACAAAACATTTATCTCCATGAAGTAACAAAGACAATGTGACATTAAACAAACATCATCTCTGATGACAATGAATCAAGGGAACAGTGAGTATCTGTTGAGCAATGAATAATAAGCAAAATGAACATGTGACCAAGCATGCCACTAAAGAAGCCTAGTGATTGTGATCACCCATTGATTGCATCAGTCCCTCCCAGGAGAAGATTTCACTCACAAGGGCCAGATATCAAAGCACAAAAATAGAGCAGGTAAGTCCCTTCAACTACTGTGGCACAAGCAAAGGTTCAGTATTTTCAATAAGTCTGGTATATAGCATGTTACTGGCATTGGCCCAGCCTGATTTCAAAAGTGTTAAAGTTAATTTGTATATTCAGTTTAGATAAGCTGCATTTGAATTAAGGAAGGCTGAAATTATTTTTGAACAATGATCAGGTGTATAAATGACATGACAATAGGGGAACCAGTACAAAAAAAAAATTCACAGATCATCAAGTTAAGCAATGCAGGCTTCATAAATAATCATCCATAAAATATGTCTACCCTGATGGAATAGCAGTTAGAAATGAGAAGTACTAGTAGTTCCAATTCAAGTCACATTACTTACAAGTGACTCACTAGCTAAAGATTGTATTGCACGTTCCATGACAATTAAACCTTATGAAAATTTGGCATGTTATTATCAAATTGTCTTCAGGATATACTGTACTAACATAAGCCTCTCCATTGATTCCCTCTTCAAAAACGTAATCAGAAGTAGACAATAGTTGAAAAGAAGTTGATCACAAGTGGCAGGGAAAAAACACTATAATCAATTATAACTGTTCAATACAATCCTAAGATGGTAGGACAATTGCGACTAAGCTAACACGTTTTAAGTAATACGTAGAGGGTTCAATTATAAGAAAAGCTTGCGCCATGAGGCTATTCCTAATTTAATTGAATCGGTAACATACTTGCAACTGCAATAATTCACAACAAAACAGCATTTTTACCCTGATAGCATAATGAAGAATCTTTTGTTTTAGTTGTCTTGGTAAACTAGAAAAAAAATATCTTCCAAAGAGCACATTATGAAGAACTGTTTTTACCACACACCGTACAAAATAAGTGATAACAATGAAATCTCCACATTATTTAGAGGTACTTTGAAATTACTTTGAACTATAAATTGAGACCTAGGTACCTATCATTACTGTTCAGCACACAAGCCTCAGTTATTTTAATTCAACAGTACGTGCTGTTTACACAGCTTTATAGTAACACACTCTGAAAAATGACAATTTAAAGCTGCTACAAATGATACTTCAGATTTGAAATCCTGCCACCTTATAACCAATATAGCCAACAATAGGGATATGAGTTGATCAGTTTGACGTTGGTCGCTACTTTTACTAAATTCAAGTCCATGACTGTTAATTATTGATTATGGAGATCTATTCTTAAAAGAGGTGTAAGGAATATTCATCTATGTGCAAAAGCACTAAGATTCTCCACAACAGAAAAACAGGCTCTTATTTTACAGCCAACATACTAAGTACTTAAAATTTGGCCAATATTTTACAGCTTTGAATTTCGATAAAACATGTAGCAAGACAACTTTAAGCACACCGTTTGATAAATTAGTTGTTTCAATGGTTATATGATGTCTCTGAATGAGTAACTTAAAAGATGTTAAAAGAAGAGTTGTTCTCTAGAATTCAATCTTTCCTATTAATTACTGTTTGGCTAAGTGTAGTCGAATTATCAGAGTAAGTTGCCGGCAGAAACTCGAAGTACTGCAAGAAAGATTAGATGTAGTGATGAAGTCAATAGACTCAAAAATAACACTTGAATGTGGTAGTTAAGACTGGTAAAAAAGAATCACATAAGCTTAAAAGAGAAAAGACAAATAAAAAAGAAGGAAAGAATATGATTTTACATGGATATTGCATCAATAGCTGTAGCAGTGGACACAAAATGGAAATGAAGGGCACTTAAAAATTGTTATCAGTATCACAAACAAGTCCCCTCTGACTCGGTTGGTCCCTCATCATTGCAATGCCTGGCCCAACCCCTTGCTTCTTGCAGCCACCTCTTCCCTAAACGAACATGGGCTGTACTTGAAGTTGGATGACAAAAGACCATTAGGGTAAAAAGCAGAAAGAGATAATGAGATTGAAACATATCTGAACATACTTTAAACTGATAAGATTCTTACCCCTGACCAAAACCAAAAATTGGGATTCTACACTTCCATTTCTTGGGTGAAAATAGATACACGGGATGTAATTGGGAAGAATGGCACTCGCTATTTTTCAGATTAATAAGTATATGAGCTGTGTATTAACTCTGACAGAAAGAACAACTCCCCATGATAAAAACTAGTTAATCATTATATCAATAATTATTATTATTCCTACATGCAGTTACTGCAAAGCAGTATTCAAAGTTTCAGTGAGTGCAGATAATTTAACATTGCCTCACAGCCACAAGAAACCCTCAGAGCAAAGTTCATACTCAGTTAAAAACACAAGAACAGTACCTATAATTAGCATTTGCTACGATGTGCTTTTAAGCCCAATACAGCATTCTCTTTTTATAATTTCATATTTTTAACAACTTTCTCCCTCCCTCTCTCTCTCTCTCTCTCTCCCTCTTTCTCTCGAAATGAAACCAAAACACATGATAAAGCACCAGAAATGAATGTGTCCAGTTACAAACAAAAGAAAAATTACTAAATAAGACTAGAAAAAAATTATTTTTGCATTGAGTGTCATGTAATTTACTGAGTATGCAGCATCCTTAGTAGCTTTAAGGCATGTGGAAGGCTAACAAAAAAGACAAAGCATTTTTGAGCAAACAACTCAAAGTTTAGGGCCGTCAAGACAAAAATAGATAGTTTACTTAAATATATGAGGAAACTCAGGGCAGGTAGTTCTGAGATGTGAACCCAGACAAGTCAAAATGTACAACAGAGGGATGTCTTAATAAGTATAAAGGCATATAAAAGAAGCTGTTAGTCAGCAAGAATGGCATTCCACACAATAACACACCTTGAATCACCAAGTGTTGGTTGAGTCCCAGTTTCTGGTCACATATTACACTTTTCATATGCTTCTCTACACATGGCAAATTTGTACTATACTCACACCAATCCCAAATGTTACAACCTCCATGCAAGACAAACACCAAAAGGAAGAGGCTCATGCGCAAATTCAAGGAGGAATCAATAAAGCAGGTAAGCTCTTAGTATCACTCATAGAAAGGTAAGCACGGATGTTTTAGAAGTACACCTGAACCTGATATTTTACACTAAACACTTAAAGTCACTCAAACAATTGCTTATCGGAACTGAATGGGAATGTTACATATAACCAACTTTTTTCAAGAGACCATTATTAATTAAATCCACACCACAATTAATTCTTAAAAAGTTTAACAAAAAAACATTTTCTTTTGCCATGAAGCCATTCAGTAGAGAGATTATGATTCACACAACATGATAAATATAACGAAATCTACATTAAACATTTGACTAACTCATAGCACTTGATGCTCCTTGCATTGGTGTACTGACTGGGCTGCATGACTTACCGTAACCCTGACCCTGGAGGAAGAGCCGGAATGCCTCTGCAACTTTCCCAGGCTGCTCTTCAAGAACCATTCCACAGTCAGAAATCTAGGATAGAAATATAAAAAGTTATTCCTTGGAAGCAGTAAAAATTAGTGTTATGCAATTAGAACAGGCTTTCTCAAACAAACACTTTTACCTTCATCCAAGATGAGTTGGTAGGATCGAGTCTTCCATTTAAAGTGACTGTATCATCTACGTGGGGGCTCAGAGAGCCAGTAATGTTCATCACAGGCATTTGAAGGGTTGCACTCTCTTTGCGACGGTTGGGCTCCAGTTCGCGAGTCAGTTTAAGGTCAGTACGTCTCACATAAGAATCAATAAACAATGCCAAATTAGAAGGGTTAACTTGTCTTTCAAAGTAGTTGCGGTATACTTGAACCAGGTCATGATTCCTTTCTTCTGTTCCCTGTGAAGAGATTTTACAATTATATTCTGATACATGGATGATGATAATATGACTGATCAGACAAATGAAAGTTAAAAATTTACCCTTCCAAAGTGGTGCCACATAAGGTAATCCAAAACACCTTGAGTCATCCCTTTAGAGCGAAGATACCTGGCATTCATTTTTTGGTAGCCCCATTCAATCCATCCAGCTTGTGTGGAGACTACATTGATAAGGCACAACGCCTCGACCTTTTCTGGATTGGCCAAGGCAAAGCGAGCCAAGATGTTGCCACCAGCCCCAACCCCAAGCCCGATGACGTGCCGAAGGCCGAAGTGACTCAGTACAAACATCAGTTGCTCAGACAGCTCGTCCATGGTGGGGTATTCAAAACTGAAAGGAAAAACACAAATGACTGAGAATCAGTTTTTTTTTTTTTTTTCAAGTGTTACACAAAAGGGTTGAGCACTTACTCGTCGGGGAGCGGCACAGCGCCCTCCTCCTGACCAGGGGCGTTCACGTGGTACACGCAGAAGTTGTCCAGCAGCGCGCGCATGTCGATGTAGTTGAAGAAGGCCTGGAAGCTGGAGATGTAGTTGAGGCCGAGGTCGTGGTACGTGAGGATGGCGGGCTTGGCCCGGTCACCCTGCACGGCCACCAGCACGGAGCCCCGGGCCGTCTCCACGCGCTCCTCCGACACAGCGGAGTCGTCCCTCGACATGGAGCGCACGGCGGGGAACTGCAGGTCGATCTTCTTGAGCTCGATGTCGTCCATGGAGTCTGACGGCATCTTGCTGCAAGCAGAGGAAGCATGCCGTCACGCCGGGGCGGCGGACTTGGCCCTGGGGGCGGCGGACTTGGCCGAGAGGACTAGGACATGGGGGACTTGGCCCTGAAAGACTTGGTCCGGGAGTACTTGGGTATGAAGGACTTGGGTATGAAGGACTTGGCAATGGAGGACTTGGCCTTAGAGGACCTATGTATGAAGGACTTGGTCATGGGGGACTTGGCCATGGGGGACTTGGCCATGGGGGACTTGGCCATGGGGGACTTGGCCATGGGGGACTTGGCCATGGGGGGGTTGGCCATGGGGCGGTTGGCCAACGGGGTCGTGGCGTGAGGCCCGTGATGGGCCCGCACCGTGCCCTGCCCAAGGTCAAGGTAACGCGGGCCAGGGCTGGCGAGGCCGGGGGTGCAGGAACAAGGCATGGACGGGTGGGACGGGCGAGACGGGCAGGCCAGGGTGAGACCGCTGCCGGTGACCCAGATGCGAAACTGTCGTATTGATCGGGTCCCGGCGGGGCGAGGCGCGGCGGGCGCGGCGGGCGAAGCGAGCCCAGGCCAAGCCCGGGCAGTACAAGCCGGCCCGCCCGGACGAAGCCGAAACATGCGCACCCAAAGGTCGAATCCGAACGCAAATGCAGAGGGCAAATAACAAAGGTCTTTGGATCCGTTTGGATCAGCACGTCAGCGCATCTGGGCCTGGGTGGACAGACGCCACGAGCACACGTGGCATGCGTTCATTGAGTTCAACTGATGAAACGTAAGTAAGGGCCGGAGTTGTAGGATGGGCCCTTGCTGACGTCAGAGGACCCACAGCCCTGCATTGCTGTACGCGGCGAGGGGGGCGAGGGGGCCGAGGCAGGGTGCACCCTGTTGCTGGAGCCCCAGCCCCGCGACCAGCCCCGCGACCAGCCCAGCCCAGCACGGGGGCAGCTGGCTGGGACTGGGAGCGGCAAGCGGCGAGGCCAGAGCTCACGTTCAATCTGAATCCTATTCTTTTTGGCCGCTCATTGTTCGTGTGGTTCTATTGGCTGCGTGGTAAGGATGCCCAGGGTGCCCAGGGTGCCCAGGGTGCGGGGGTGCAAAGGCAGGGGGTGGGGGAAATTAAGAGTGGACACGACAGGGCCAAGAAGGGCGCCGCGTACCCGAGACATGGGGCAGTGCGGGCGGAGGTGGTAATCGAAATTCGACCCCCGGCCGAGAGAGCAATTCGCCCGCCAGCATGGCCGCGGCCTGGCTCAAGGGGCACAAGGGGAAAGAGGCACGTCCGGGGCCCGTCCGCCATTGCGCCGTCATCGCGCTGTCATCAGCGATGTCCGAACGGAGCGCCAGGATGCACCCCTTGGCCCGCCCGTCCGCCCCGCGCGCCGCGCGCCGCGCCCCTCCACCGCGGGCTCCACCACGGAGGCCTCCAGGCGGAGCGCCGCGGCTACTTCCCGGTTGGAACCGGAGATAACCAGAGCGCGGCCAAGTCCTCTGGCGGGCGGAGCGGGCGGAGCGGGCGGAGCGGGCCACTCGGCACGGGTAGCGTCGAGCGACGTTGCCTTCGGTTCAACTCGGCCCCCCGCGGCGCTCGGCAGGGCTCGGCCTGTAGGACTCGGTGTGGGGCACACTCCGCCCACCGCGCCACACCTGATGAGGCGAGGCGAGGCGAGGCGCCGCGTGCGACGGCGGCTTGTCGCGAGGCCGCGCTAAGCGCTAAGCGGGCCGAGAGCCTTGCCGCCTTGCACAACCAGCGGACAGTCCGGCAAGCCCCGCGGGCCGCGCCATCGCCGCGCCGCCGCCGCTCGCATTTCGACGCGCTGGAAATGATTGGCAGTGGGCTGATTCCGCAACGGTCGCTCCGCCTCTCCCGCACTCGAGGAGCGGAAAGGTGTGAAAGACGGAGCGACGAAGCACCGTTCCGGAATCAACGTGCAGTGCCAAAGCCCGTCCGCGCGCGGATGCGTCCCCATCCCGGGCCCCCCGCCATGGGGCCCACCACAGCGAGGCTTGTTGACTCGCTGCCTGGGATTGCATCCGCGCCGTGCGACTGCGCGAGCGCGCGGCGCGCCAGGTCGGTGCAGCAGGCTCCTGCGCCACGCGCCGCCACGCCCAGAGACAAAGTAGTGTACTGTATCTGTATACCGAACGCAGTCTCCCGCCGCGTGCGGTGCTGGGCGCGCGAGGTGCTGCGGGCCGCGTGCTGGCCCCCCGCGGCCGCCCCGCCCCGGCCAGGGCCTTGGCCAGGGCAGCCAGCCGCCGAGGAGCTCCCGTAGCATCGCCTCTGCCTCGGGGGATGGGATGCGTGTCCGCGGCCAAACAAATTAGCCAAGAAATAACGAGGGAGGGACTGGGCGATGGGCTGATAACCGTTTGTTGTCGAGTTGCCATGACGACCAAGTCAATCGATACCCTCGAGCGGGCAGGGAACCTGGGCTGGGCCGCCGTGGCCGCCGTGGCCGCCGTGGCCAGTCCTCCTGGCCGTCTCCGCCCGCGCCCTGCCATACGGGCGGGCCTCGCCCAGACCTGGCCAGTGGGCGCCGCCATCGGCGCCACTTGGCCAGGCCCACGGCCGGCCACGGCAGACGGCCAGGCCCACGGCCAGGCCCACGGCCAGGCCCACGGCCAGGCCCACGGCCAGGCCCACGGCCAGGCCCCGGCCAGCCCACGGCCAGGCCCACGGCCAGGCCCCGGCCCGGCCGGCCCGGCCCACGGCCAGGCCACGGCCACCACGGCCAGCCCACGCCAGCCCCGGCCAGGCCCACGGCCAGGCCCGCAGGCCAGGCGCCCACGGCCAGGCGCCACGGCCAGGCCCACGGCCAGGCCCACGGCCAGGCCCACGGCCAGGCCACGGCCAGGCCCACGGCCAGGCCCACGAGCCAGGCACCACGGCCAGGCCCACGGCCAGGCCCACGGCCAGGCCGCACGGCCAGGCCCCCGGCCAGGCCCCGGCCAGGCCCACGGCCAGGCCACGGCCAGGCGCCACGGCCAGGCCCACGGCCAGGCCCCCGGCCAGCCCAGGCACAGGCCACCACGCCAGCCCACGGCCAGGCCCACGCCAGGCCACACGGGGCCAGGCCGCAGAGCCAGGCCGCGGATCGGCGCAGCCCCGGCAGCCGGCGGCACCGGCAGCCGGCCACGCCGCTTGAGGGCGGGCCTGGCAGCGGCCGGCGCTGGAACGAGGGTGCCCGCCTGGCTATCGACCGCGAGAGCTCGGTCGGCGCGCCGAGGCAGGCCGCAGCCCTGCTAGATCCAGCGGAGCCCTCGCCTCGCCGCGAGCAACCCTCGGTACCCCGGTTCAGCCGTGGCCGCCGCCGCCGCCCCTGCCATACATCGCCAGCCATGGTGTGGGGCGCCGGGCGCCCGCGCACCCGCCATGGCCAGGCCCCAGGCACAGCCCAAAAGAAGCCGTTTCTGCTCTGTCTCTCTCGCACCTACAGGGGTGAGTGCGAGAGAGACTCGCGGAATCGGTCTGCAGCCCGGGGCAGCCTGGGGCAGCCGGCGCCGGCCCGGCCTGAGGGCGGGCCCTGGCGGGCCGCGCGCGGAAGAAGCAGTCCTGGCTATTTCTGCCCTTTCTCGACTCGGTTCGGGTTCGACTCGAAGCCAGAGCCAGCCCTCTGCATAATCCAGATCTGACCTCGAACCCCAGTCACGCGAGGTTCATGTCCTGGGCGCCGCGCCCCGCCAGGCCGCCAGCCATGGTGTGGTGGCCAGGGCGCTCGCCACGCCAGGGCGGCCCCGGGGAAAAAAGGAAGGGGGCATAAAGAGGCGGGGGGTGGGGGCGATTACTGCCCGCGCCGTGCCTGCCGTCGGCCTGCCGTGCCTGACCCCCTAACACTGTAATCTCCACGATAAGAGCCCCGGCACGGCGGCACGGCGGCACGGCGGCACGGCGGCACGGCGGCACGGACGGGCGGGACTGGGCGGCTCCCGGAGGCGGAGGCCATTACTGGACAGGAGTGGCGAAAACGCGGCGCAAAAAGCAAAAAGCGGGCAAGGCCGCAGCAAGGTGCGTCACTGCACCGTGTCGGCGGCGTGGCGGCACCGGCAGGCTCGTCCCGAAAGTCAACCTGTCTCTCTCGCACGCATGGGGCGTCCCGCATGGGTGCGAGAGAGACAGAGCGACGAAAACGACTCTCGGAATCAGCCTGCAGGCGCGCACTCGGAACCCCGACAAGTGTACAGGGATGGACCACTCAAGGGATGACGGTGACGGGCCAGCCAGGGGGCGGGGGAAGGCTCGCATGTCCTACTTGAGAGGTTGTTGCTCGCTGGCCCCGGCCCCCAAGCCCCCAGCCCCCCGGCCCCCCGGCGGGCACGGCGGGTAGCCACTCCACTCCCTCCCCTCTGGCGCGGGCAGGGCGAAATGCCGCCTTCTCTTGCCCGTCCTGCACCCTACACTGCCCACGCCTTTCTAATGCATGCGCATCGAGCACTCTGACGCCAGGCTGACACGCGGGCAGGTTATGGACTGCTCGAGCCACTGCAAGCAGTGCAGGCCACGTCGCGTCACACGTCGCACGGGGCCTCAAAACGAAGTCACGCCGCGTGACGCCAGCGAGTTTCCGCAGTCTCATTCCGGGAGCCGTTTCCGTCGCTCGGTCTCTCTCGCACTCGTGGGACGTCCCATTCCGTCCGAGAGAGACAGAGTGATGATCCCGGCTTCCGGAATCAGTCTGCTGCGCGCGGGATCGCCGAGCTTTGCAGTGTCGCGGTGTTGTTGGCGGTGGCCGGGCGGTGGCCGGGCGCCTGCCTGCCTGGCGATACCGGCCCGTCGCGCAGCCGAGCGGCCGGGTTGCCTACCCCAACCCCTGATTGCCCCTGCGCTGGCTGCAGCGACGCAGCGGCGCAGCGGCGGCGCACAGAGCGGCAACGCCCGTGTGGTGCGTCTTGTGGTGCGTTCAGTCCCCGCCACGCTCCACCGCTCCGCCGCCGCCGGGGCCTGGGGCCGCCTCACGCCTCGTCGGCTGGACACTGGACAGGACGGGACATTTATAGTTGGCCCGACGTCGACTCTGTCCCGACGCTGACCAGAGGCTGTCCGGGCCGCCCCCGCCAGGCTGCGTCAGGCCGGGACAATCACGCCAGATTTCACACAGTGCGGGTAGCCAGGCTGGCGGCCCTGGCGGGGCGGCGGCCCCATCTACCCTATTAGCGACGCGCTGTGGGGCCAAGCCAGGCCAAGCAGCCAGGCGGGCAGGCCGAGCCCCCCGCCGCCCCCGACGTACAGGATGCGGGCCTGGCCGGCCTGGTCCACCGGGTACAACAAGGTGACACGACACCGCGACGCCCGGCGAGCACTGGCGAGGCCAGGCGGAAGAAACAGAAAGTACCGAGGCAGAAACTTTAATTTCCCCCTCGCGGTGTATACTAATGGCACAATTTCGCTTCGAGGCCGTTTTCCTTGGCCCGGCTGGCAAGACGGACGCTGCCGCCGGCACGGCCTGCACGCATCGCAGCCGTCGCTCTCAACGCTCGGCCCTCGGCCCGGGTCAACGCGGCCCATCCTCCTTCCAGCCAGCACGACCAGCTCGGCCGCCCGCACGGCCCGCTCGAGGAGGCCAATTGCAGCGACAAGTCACTGGAAGATATGAGTCGGGTCGGGGCCACGCGGCAGCGCACGGCGCACTTCGGCGACAATGCCCGCGCGGCGCGCCCGGCCGGCCGGCCAAGACAGTGTACTGCCGGGCGATCCAGAAGAGCGGTTCGTCGCTGTCTCTCTCGCACACGGCGGCGCCAAGATGAGAGAGAGAAAGACGCAGGCAAGGACAGGGAAGGGGAGGTTCCGGGGCTTCAAGGGCTGCATGGCTTCCGGAGGGAGGAGGGGGAGGGGGCCGATGACAACCAGTTGGCCGGCGGCGAGAGCGAGGGGTCGTTGGACGCCGCGCGCCGCGCCGACAAGCCGATAGCGACTGCTGGCCGCGACGGCCGACGGCCGACGGCCACGCCCCGACGCCTTTCCACAAAGCTCATGTTGCCGTCGTCACGTGGTGTCGTGGTCACGTGGCGACGGCCCGGCCGACCCGGCCCGGCCGGATGATGGGGCGACACGTCCGTGCTCCGCCTGCCCGCCGGACGCCGCGCCCGCACCGGCCGCACGCGCCGGGCATGCAGACAGGTGGCGAGGCTCGGAGACGTCAAGAGCCAAGAGCCGCTCCGAGCCGCTCAGCGCGCTCAGCGCACGGCGGCCAGGTGCCGGCCGGACCGGACCGCGGCCACTGCCAAAAACCACCGCCAGGAACGCGCGCACGCGGACCGGCGCAGCCGCAGCGCTCTCGTTGCGCTGTCCCTTTCGCACCCCGACGCCACGCCCCACGAGCGCGAGAGAGACAGAGCGACGAGACCGCTGGCGTGGGCTATCGTGATTGGAGTCGCGCTGCGTCGCGTGCGTGAGGACGCGCCCAAGGCCACGGCGGGGAAGTTTTGATAGCGAGCCCGGCCCGGACGGCGGAAGGTAAAAACGGGGAATGGAACACAAACAGAACGTCGGCGGGATGCGCCGTGACGCCGTGACGGCAGTGCGTGCGGCGCCGCGTCACCATGACGACACGGCAGGCGGCACGGAGTGAGTCCGGGCCGCGCGCCCCGCAATAAGCCTTCGACGCCTTGCCGTCATCCGCAGTCAGTCCTTAGTCAAAGGTCCGGGCTGGCCCAGGCCGCCCCCGCACTTGCTTGTCTTGTGAATAAGTGAGGGGCCAGGCGCATGGTGTGCCGGCCGAGTGCCGGGCATGGAGGGTGGCCCGCCCGCCCCAGCCCGCCAGCGCCTCGGACCGCGGCGCCGGCCGGTCGCCTCCCCGCCGCTCCAGGACCGCCGCCGCCAACGCCGCCCCCAGGCCCGCGCCGCCGCCACCCCCGGCGACACAGAGCTGCTCCTCCGGTCTAACTTCCAAGCCGCCCTCGCCTGCCACGAGCACGCCGCACGCAGCGAGGGCCAACGTGATGACTTTACGGTGCGGCGTCACGGCCCCGACAATGTCCGTCGCCGTAATCGAGTTACGTGCCGACGGGCCGACGACGGCCAACTCAGGGCCAGCCCGTCCCGTAGCCGTCCACCTGCCGCGTCAGCCACTGCGGCTGCCCCGTTCCCGTGGCTCCGTGCTCTGGACCAGCCGAGCCAGGCCGAGCCATAGCAGGCCGGGCCAGGCCGGGCCAGGCCCACCAGGCCTCTCTTTATTCCAGGGAGGTGACTCGACGACTTCCTCCGCCTCGCTTCGCGCTTCGCTCTTGCTTCCCTACAAACAGCCGCAGCGGATGCAATGCAAGGCACGTCGCTGTCGCGTCGCCCTCTCTCGCTGAGCCGCCCTCCGCCCCGGCCGGGCCTGGAGGAGAGGGCCCGGGCCAGAGCCAGAGCCAGCCCGAGGGCCGCCTCGCCTCGCCTCCACGCACCCCGCCGCCAGCCACGCCCTCTCTCCCCCTCGCCCACCGGAATTTCAATCATTTCGACAATATCATTTCTGGATGCCCCCCAGCGAGGGAGCGCAAACTGACGGAAAACGAGATTGTGTGAGTTTATATCCCGTAGGGTGGGGGTCACAAGCATGACATGACAAAATTCGATTTCTTAGCCTTTTCACCGCAAGGCTCTTGCTCACGCTGAACGAGATAACACCGCGTGGTAAACCATCCTGCGGTTGGGCCGGGTCCTTGTCCGCGGGACAGACGGCGGGGAGGGGAGGGCCCTCGGTTCGGCCAGGGGGTCCACCAGGAGCACCGCGCGGTCCGGGTGGCCCATGGGGTGGCCCCAGGACCGCGTCCGGCGCGGGGCGTGCAGGTGTGCGTGTTCTGACCACTCGGCTTGACCGTTTGGCCCAATCCACGCCACACAGTGCAGCTTGGCGATCAATATCAGGCGAGCCTCTAGGCCCTCTAGGCACCGCCAGCGCCACGCCACGCCACGCCACGCCACGCCACGCCACGCCACGCTGGCTTGGCAGGCCCCGCAGCCCCGCCTCAGGAAGGCGAAGGAGGGACGGAGCAACGCTGGGCAACGCGGAGCAAGGACAAGGCGAGGCCGCGAGGCCGCAAAGAGCGCCGCGCGCCGAGGTGAGGCGAGGCACCCTGGATTTTGGGGAGGGGTGGAGGGGGGGGGGCATGTCGCTGAAATTGCTCAACTTGCTTACAGCGCGCAGCCAAGAGGCAGTCGTCGGCACAAGCCGCCCCGCCCCGCCCCGTCCCACCTGCCGTGACCAGGAAGCATAGACATAGCCTACCCCACCGCGGCCGGGGTCGCGCCTCACGAACCCCCCGCCCCGCCGCGCCCCGCCCCGAGCCGGAACGACCCGTGTGCTTTATTGGATTTCACGATTGTCTCATGTCGCTCGGCGATCCATTAATTTCTAAGGTAACCCGCCCTGCGCGCGTCCTTCGCACGCCCGCGCACTCTCTCACACACACGCACTCACTACACACTCACAAGCATGCACACAGCCAAGAAACATGGGTAGACTGAAACGTTGCTTTAAAACTTGTCAAGGGAAAAAGATTAGAAATAAGAAGAATAAAATAGACTTAAGTATCTTTCGGATGGAAGCGACTCCCTCTATAAAGAATAAGATGTACAAAAACTAAAGGTACATAGTAATTACATGCAAATTGGTACATGTGCAAATCAGACTAGATAAATAGTATATGTCAGTATGCTACACAAGAAGCTACTCAGAAAGATTCAGTATAAAATTACACGGTTGGAGCAATTCATACATTCAAAGTCTATGAACAATAGGAAAATGAGTAAAAATGACTACTGGCCTATACAGAGAATGGCTAGAATCAAGGAGATCAATACGACTAGAAAGGGAAGAAACAAAAACCCCACCTTCTGTACTTCACAGTAATAAATGAGAATGCTGCTAGAGAGAAAAATAGAGAGAAAAATGACTCGTAAGAAAATAAATAAGTCAGGCTCTGATTTTACACAGGTAAGAAAATCATACGCGCTTGGCATGTTTCTGGGCTTTGAATCGTCATTGATTTAAGTGACCATATAAATGATATTGACCACTTCCACACCAGCTTAATAGGTGGCATAGAGCTGCACACCGAAAAAAGATGATAGGCGTAATTCTTACCCCAGCAGAGCAGTTTCTTCGGGGGTACCTGCGGTAGGCATTTTTCTGTTGTCCCTAAAAAACAAATTCACACAATAAGTAAGCCAAACTCATAAAATAAGCACTACATATAATTATGATCCAACCAACAGTTTTAACTAAGGGGCTCAACCGTATTGAGTACTTTCTACAAAACTTTTTAAGTTCATGTACTATGGTGCCAATATCTCATACCATTCCTGGAGATGAGATACAGGACAGCCTTAAATAAATTTATTTGAACTCTGCAATTTAAAAAATTGTTTTAAAAAATGACAAAACTAGTTGCTGCTTTGAAAAAAAAATATACAGAGGGATACAATATTTTAAAAACTAAATTGGCCATTTTCTGACCTCTCAAAAAGTGTCCTTAATGATAAACATTTGTACACACACTATGCAAAATATAGAAGCTACCCAAAGCACAGATAATAAAAGCCAAGCAATATAAATAGCATTGTTAAATTCATCAGAGTTGCCATGCTAATTGACAACATCAAAAGAGCAAGGAAATCAAACATGCAAAGCACAAACTTATTCAAATACGTAAATAAAATAAGGAATTGTATGAATGAATGGCAGAACATTAGACAACATGCATCAGGTTACAGAAAAATGATGTGCAGTTACAGGAGGATAGAGGTATAGTATGATGTGATAATTGGGAATGAATGAACAAATGAATGAATGCAAAAAAGAAGTTACCCTTCTACAGAAAGATGGAAGCATTTGGTTTGTAAGGGCCAGCCTCCTCTTAAACATAAAAGAGAGAATAAATAAAAATTGAGCCAAACCATGCCCCTTTCATATTTTGCCTTGTGCCTTGATCTAGTATGAGCTTTAAATCAGGAGCAGGCTACCAGTATGGCACTTTAACAGTACACATTAAAATGGTATTGCAAAATATTTACAAAGGATAGAAGTGACATGAGCACTTACCCTTCCACCCTTCATACACTTAAATTATTCACTGAATATATTTTACCACCACCTTGCAGAAGGAACTTTTTTATGACCAGTAAGACAAGCTAGGGCAAGTCTGTTAAGTTTTGAAGGGAGAGCAGTCTTAGGAGAGCAGAAGGCCTATAGCTGAAATGTGTTGGAACATTGTTCCAGCATTCCAGCACACAGGTTTGCAATGCACATATTACATGTACCTTCTGCTCCTCTGAAGACACCGAAACAACAGCTTCTCACCATCACCACAGTGATATGAAAGTTCAGATCATTACCTTGCAGGCATTATGGTGGGTTCAGGGCGGCCATCATCTCGCACAATCAGAGGGTCAGAGCGTCCGTTGCTTGGTGCCACGAAGCTAAAAGCTTTCTTCACACTCTCTATCATATTAAACTTGTTCTCTGCAACTGTTGTGCTCTTGTATACGTCGTCGGCTAACGACCTATACGAGCCACCTAGTCCTGAAGGCATTTTAGCCTAAAAATGGGAAAACAAAAAACAGAGGTATGTTGGCAACAAAATTACAAAACAAAATGAAAATGAGTAGCAAATGAAACAGTAATTGATAAACGTGATAATTATTTCCATGCTTGCATTTTATCCACTAGTGCAAAAAGAGGATTTAAGAAAAAAACACCTACATTGACGGGTTATTAGACTTAATATCATGCAATATCGTAAAAGTGTCTAACTCCAAATGCCAGCACGCAATTACTTGATAGATTACAAAAGATGCATTAATAAGATGTCAGTTGATGCAAATTAAAATTAATGAGAAATCAAAACACTCCAAGTGTGAAGCTTTATTCCCACAATTACAGAACAAAGCAGGCAAAATAATTCTGCAGCAGTCCAAATTTTCATGCGTTCTAAATTTACATCTACATACTTTGACACTCTAAATGACAAACCTCAGTAAAAAATGTCTGATGAGTCATAGAGAAAAATAAACTCTATACTTGATGAACAAAATGTGATCCCCACAATCAAAGTTGATTGCTGAGAAGCTTAATCAATTTCAAAAAGAGCGGCAAATGCTAGCTTATATTTTTGACAGAACCTAAACTGTCACAAGAACAATATATAATTGACACGTCAGACGATATTTTTAAGAAATAATGAAATGAATTTAGGAAAAACATTCCCCACAGGCCATGAAAATGGGAAACAAAACGATCACAAAACAAAGTTTGGTTGGTGGACAAGCAGACAAACGCCAAAAAGCGAACGAGGAGAACTTCTCACGAAACAAAAGGCAGCTGTAAAACTTGGTCCCACAAAAGTTTATAAAAATAAAAAGTAGCAACAAAACCAATTTGTGCTTCTCCATCAAATCGTGCGCTTTCGGAACGGCTGGCAAAACAAGTTCAACGCAAAACATTCTCGGGCTCCAAGCATCGTAAACAGTCACAAAGCTGGAAGCCCTAATTTAATGTCTGCTCTGGATATGTAACAATGTCTTTCTCGGTCAAAACTCACCGATAATAAGGGTTATCCGTGAAGAGTTACGTATAAACAATCACTTAACTAGGCACAAAACATTTATTGACGAGACGTTCTCCTGTCGCAGACGACAGAATAGCTTGCTTCGCCCTGAAGGCCTCACTTGCAAGACCAAACCACAAAACCCCTCCCCACCCTTAACGAGTTTGCTTATCCTCCAGCAGGGGCGCTACCATCTCCTTATGAAAAATTGTGCGTACCGTTCAGCGAAATCGTTGAATCCGTAGCTCATTTATATTGTTATTGTTTTGGCCAATCCTTTTAAGTTCGGCGCGAATACGTGAAAGTACACGATTGGTGATGGAAGAAGCCGACAGCCGGATTGCCACTCAACAATTACCGAACTACAATCATTGCGAGTCGCTTTGCAGCCCCCCTGATTTCGCATAGCGACCAGAGCGCCCCAAGCGAGGAACACCGCAAGCTGAGCGTTTGAGACTGGACTGTGCCGCCACCTAGCGGCCGCAGCATGCACTTCGTCCACGAGAGAGGGAGCGGGAGTTTCGAAATTGAAAGCAGCATCAGCTGCAATGGTAAGTGAATTATCATCTGATCACTTACCTCTTATTCAACAGTCGCGTCTCCTTTCCAGCGTTCAAATTTTCTTCGTCCCCGACGATGACGGAACATGCTGGCGAGGTCGATACGGACGCCCTTCTTTGTCGAGAGGCTGCAAGATTATTTGTGTTTTCATCATGTCGAGTCAAAGTGTATGGTATGTGTTTGTTGTTGCGCGACGGTAATTAATCGGTGATTTTGGCGAGTCGAAGACCCTCGGCTGCACCTCGGTACCCACCCCTCACCTCACGCTTTGCGCCTCGTTGTCCGGAGGGAGGGGGAGGGGCTCGTCGCGAGCAAGCGGACACGGCGTCTGCTCGAACGCACGAGTTATCCGTTTGTCTTGGAACGTCTTGGACAGGTTTGTTCTGCCCAGTAACGTCTGGCGAGGAGGGGGAGGAGGAGGAAGGGGGAGGAGGGGGAAGGGGGAGGGAGGGGATGACCCCTCGGCGTGGGGCTGATTGAGTCCCAGAGGAGAACAGGGATGGAAGAGGGATCAGCGGCCAGCAATTTATCGAGGAAAACAACTTTGGCGTCTTGGGGATGCAAGAGAGCAGCAGGCAAGGGGGTATTCACTCCTAAAAGTGGTCGACACACTAATACCTTTTGAAAAGTATTACATGAATTACATTCTATTACAGCTAATCTGTCAATTACGGGTATTACCTCACTATTACGGCTATTACAGACCTATTACAATACTATTACAGCAATTACAGACGATTACATCGAATACAAACGACGATTACAGACCTATTAGAGTGCTATGAAAGCAATTACTGACTATTACATCAAATACAGTCATTACATAAATTACACAGTATTACACACCAATTACAGCTATTACACAACAATTACAGGTAATACATAACAATTACAGCTATTTCATAACAATTACCGTCACAACAACGCCCCTTTTCTGACATTTTAAACGATTGATGTGTTACTATTACCACCTATTACACATCAATTACACTCCTATTACACCTATTACGGGGCCATTACAGGTAATACACCACATTACAGCAATTACATAGATATTACCTATTACAGGAACTATTACAGGGCTATTACATACCCTTCGACCGACTAATACCTGAGTGAATACCCCCTTGGCAGCAGGAAACGCCAGGGAGCGCCATAGGGGAGTTGGAAGTCACGGAGGGAAGAGGTGGCCAGGGCCAGGGCCTTTAGTCCTTTGGCCGCCGTCAACAGGCGGGGCCGGCGGGGCGCGGGGCGTGGGGCATACTTACGGCAGCCTTCCGAGCTCTCGCGATGTCATGGACGCCGCGATGCCCGCCGACGGCGACCCGACGGCGTGGTCGGACACCGTCCAGCTGTCCACGGACACGGGGTGCATCATGGCGGTCCTGGGGCACGGCGTCGTGGACTCGGCGCGGTCTGGGGGCAGCACAAGGCGTAGCGGGGTCAACAACAGCGACGACGCTTGGGGCGGTCTCGGAGGCCACGGAGGTGGCCGTCGACCGTCGCGGTACTGGTGAGTCGCAGGGAACACTGGACGCAGACCTGGCCGCCGCACACTGAGCCGCGGTCCGGATGGCCCCGATAGCGTACAGGTCCAGGGCGCAGTGTCATCGCGTGGCCGATGGACCGCGACGGCGCGGCGCGGCGCGGGGCGGCGCGGGGCACATGCACTGCACCGACGGCCAGGGCAGGGCGCGCCCTTTCCGCCCGAAGCGCGTCGCCATGGCGTCGCCGCCCGCCCGCCGGACGCCATCAACTGCATCACTGGTACGTAATGCTGTTTGCGAGCACGGAGGCGAAACTCCACGCCGCCACGCAGAGGCGTGCGTTCACCACCACCAGCTGCCACGACACCAAAGCAAGCCAGCCGTGTTGTCCCCGGTGGTTAACGCCACCGGGACTCGCCGCCGGCATAATCGGGGCCCCGACCTTTTTGTTTTCGGCTCATTTTCGGAGCGGCGGACAGGGATTGAAAAGGAGACCGCCGCACTATCAGGGGGCGGCAGCGGCCCGGCCCACCCTGGCACGCCGGCACGCCGGCACAACGGCGAGGGCCCTCGATCATTTTTGTGTGAATAGGGTTAATTTGGCGCGGCTGATCGCTGCATCCCCCCCCCCCGGACACACACAGACACACACACACACCTGCTCGTACACACAGCCTGCTGTCCGCCACGCTACCCTGGTCACTTCATCAAGACGCTATCAGCCAGCGAAACGTGCGAACAATGCTCTCCTGGCTCTGCTTGCCCCCAGGGGATCCCCTCCCCCTTTCCCCACTCCGCTATGCTGCTCCCCTCCGTGCACTGCTTGATAGAGGACACAGCAGGATCCGGCTTGTGGCGAGCGCCGAGCGAAGCGCACAACATTTACGAGAGTTTTCGCCCTTTTATTTTTTCTCGAACTTGATGGTCTTGTCGATGTAGAAGTCGATCGGCCGGGCCGCAGGGGGGCGGGGCGGGGCTGGGCGGGGCCGCACGCTGTTTTACGGGCCGTGGTTATTCCGGGCCCAGCTGCGCTTTGGACGCCGCGATGCGCGAGGGGCGGGGCGGGGCGGGGGGGGCGGGGGGGGCGGGGTGGGGCGGGGTCCGAAGGGGGCCGATGCAGCATTCATGCCGTCCGCATGCCCGACAAAGCCGACAAGCTAAGCTACCCTCGTCTTCGTCAGCCGTGCGCGGTAGGCCAGCCCGCCGGACACGGGTGCAGTACGGTTGCCTACTCGCACGGCGCTACGTCTAGGTTGCTAGGCGGCCTGCCTCTGCCTGGCGGTGCTGGCGGTCCGCCGCCGCCAAATCCTACTTGCTCACGACGCACTTTATGTCCACCACACTAGCCGAGACTCGAGACCGCCCTCCCCATAGCGCACGGCTCCGCACGGCCGCCAGGACTCTGGCCGTTCCTAGTGATGGAGTAATACATAAGTAAAGGGCGATCCCAGACGGCGGCCCGCCCCTCGCCCCGCCCCTCGCCCCTCACCCCTCACCCGCCTCGACCCTCACCAGAACGCAGCACCTGAGCCCCCTGCACATGGCATTGCCAGGCATCGCGAGGCATTGGCCGCCGGATCGCCACCCCAGCAGCCCCGGCAGTCGCGCGCATCGCGGCGCGCATGCATGTGTGCATGTGTGCGTGCGTGGCTGAACTGGCAAACACAGCCGACAGACGTGGCGACGCGGGGCGCGGGGTGACACCACTGTAGCGCAGTAGGACACGACACTGGAATCGTGGCGAAGTCTCCGCGAATCACGGCACGGGAAACGCGGCCCACTACAAGGAGTGGGGCGAATGCAAGGAGCGGCGGCAGCCTGGATTTACAGTGCGGTGCCGTATCGCCGCGGGGTTTATCTATGTTGTTACAGCTAAGAAAATTTTCGCTCCTTTATCTCACGGGCCTGGTTGTTGGGGCTCGCGAGGCGTGTTGGGAATCCGGCAGTGAACTTCGCGAACGCATTCTTTCTTGCGCGAAATCCAACCTGGGGTGGGCCTGACTCGGTTTGACTCGGTCTGACTCTTTCTAGCGGCCAGGACCGCCGGCCGCCGCTACTCCCAGCCCGGCGGCAGCCTCGGCAGAGCAGCAGCGACCGTTTCAGTCCTCATGATTTGTTTATTTTCCCGAAAGTGAACCCTATATTTACCGCGGCCGAGTCCTGCCCTTCCGCGCTTGCATCTGCGCTCGCGAGGCGCGGCGTGGCCGAGGCGGGCCGGCGTCGGCTCGATCGCAACTCGACTAAAAGCGGCGCCTACCCTGGCGCCGCCGCCGTGCACGACGCCTACTTGTCAATCGCACTGGTTCACCTGCGTCTGGGGTCCGATCCTGGCCGCCGCCGCCGTCGTCCTGGTCCTCGTCGTCCTCACGATCCCGTGCTCCTGCTGCTTGGCCCCGTCACTGGCGTGATGTGTCTGAGCCCCAGGCTGCCGCCTTGGCTGTGAGGCTCCGCTCCGTCGCTCCGTCATCCCATCCGGCCGTCGTCCCGGCCGCGCACGGGCACGGGGACGCTGGCGTAGCTGACAACAGTATATATGGCCCCGCGCGGCACGGCGTGGCACAGCGCGGCACGGCACACGTATGTCAGACAAACAGTGTGCACACATGCTGTGCAGACGCGCACGCACCGCCTCCTTCGGAGAATAAAACGTGCGCTTTTTGGCGGAGGGGCGCGGCGCGGCGCGGGACTCCCACGGCGGGCTCGCGTTTGGCGGGGCGGCGATGTGAGCGGCGCGGCCGCCGTTCCCAACGTCCTACGTCCATCGCGAGTCCATCGCGAGTCCATCGCTCGGCGGACAGCGACGGCCGATTGCCGCAAAGGCCTCCGAAGCCAGGCCATGGCCAGGCCGGGCGCAAACGGGGAAAGGTGCAAGGGCCGGGCCGGGATTAGGGGTAGGTTTGGGGGTTTGGGGTTTCGGGGTTGTGGGCCGGTGTGCGAGGCGAGGCGATGAGGCGGCGAGGCCCGATCTCTCTTTGACAGTTTTAATTAAAAGCACCGCGCCGGGGGCGTGCCTTGGACGGCGCTCCGAGGATCAACGCCCATCATGTCCGGAGCGACGGAGTGGACGCAGCCAGGCCGGGCTCCAGGCTCCCCGAT